GGATCTTCAAAGGGTTATTCTATGGGCACAGCCGAATAACCCTTTTAGGTTCTAGATAACACCTTTTTTTTCTAAGATTGTAGAACTCACCCTGGCTGGTTGTCTTGATAAGGTGAATAAATCCGCCTGGAGTTCTTCCTGACACTCTTGTGTCGCTTCATGGTAGTCGAGGGTCTACTGACCACAGCAGTCTCAGACACGTCACTCATACTGACTGTAATTCAGCACCTGTGTGTGTTTCTGAGTGTGTGTGTGTGTGACAGGGGTCCGTCCACACTTGTGCAAGCTTAAACTTTCAGCTCTGTCTGTCCATCTGTGTGTGGCATGGGTCCATCAGTGTGTGTTAGGGTCAGTCTGTGTATGTGCATGATGAGTGTCCCTGCATGTGTGTGTTCTCCGTGTGTATTTGTTTGTCGGCGTGTGTGTGCAGTTCCGTTCAAACTTTCAGAAGGCACTGACTTGACACATCCCCCTGTGCTCTCCTGCGACTCTCTGCAGACTGATTGAGGCTAAGCTGAATGAAGTCCAGGGGCTGCGTGTGTGTGTGTGTGTGTGTGTGTGTGTGTGTGTGTATGTGTGTATGTGTGTATGTGTGTGTGTGTGTGTGTGTGTGTGTGTGTGTGTGTGTGTGTGTGTGTGTGTGTGTGTGTGTGTGTGTGTGTGTGCCAGAGCTGAGAGACGGGAGTGGCTGGGGCAACCTGCAGTCCTGGTACCGCATTGGAGCATCAGACAGACCCTCGGCCGCACAAGCCCTGCCTGACTCGCTCCCTGATCCAATCAGAGACATACTGACCTCTTAAAGGGCTAGTGCATGCAACACACTGCACTAGCACACACACCTCAATGGCTGTCATGGGGGAGTTGTATATTTGTGGCTGACACAACTATGGTTGATGTGTGTGTTTTTCTCCAATCAAACTCAAATAATGAATCAGTGATAATATCTTCTAACAGTTAAGCCTATGATTCCATTCAATCAAACCCATAATGCAGTATAGCCACTGTGAGGGGAGTTAATTTTTTGTGTGTTTTTTTACAAAAGCAATTTGCTAATCCATTTGACTCCAGTGAAATGAAACCTTTTTCAATTCACTTCATGAACTGACTGAATTAAAAACTGAATGGAGCTACCCCTGGTAGAGAGTGGATACCGATCATATGTATTTATACAAGTATATGATCATTTAAATAATACAGTGTACACTGTTATTCTCACAAATGTAATTCAGTGTCTTTCCTAAGTAGGTCTAAAATGAAACCCTAAGCATTAAATAAACCCCTTTGGAACCTTTCGCCAGGAACACACAGAGAATTTTAATCCGGTTCACATCCAGAGGTGCTTTCATAAGCCTTGGGGGTGTAGTAAAATCAGATCAAATCACACCTCTCAACACAAATACAAGGAAGCAGTTAGTAAATGTATCTTCTTGGAGAAGTAACACCACGGCTAGTTAACAATTATATGATAATAGACCATATGTTCAGTTGGCTCGTGGCATCTTTAGGCTGTCGTTTTAGAATAGAAGGCAGAAGGTTATCGTAGCCCAAATGAGGGGGGACGTGCATTTTTTAATTGAGCTCTCTGTGAGTGGACTCCATGGAGCACATCAGACAGGAACGACTGTCTATGCGGGAGTCGATGGAATAGTTTTAATTTGAACGGAAAACCTGGAGACGGAATTGTCGGATCATGGTCTTGCATGCTTAATAAGAGATTCGTGCAAAAGTCCAAGGATGCGTCCCAAATGGCACCATACTCCCTACATAGTACACTACTTTGACCAGGTCCTAGAAGGCTCTGGTCAAAAGTACTGCACTAGAAAATAGCGTGCCATTTTGGACATAGTCCAGAAAGTAGTGGTGTTATGAAAACATGTAGTTTTAGTTTCAAGTTATTTCCAGTTATTTTACTTATGTATTGAAGGCTGAATTAAGACAGTGAGTTTGTGAAAAGCCCTGGACTGACTTCTTGAAATCTATGCTTTAATATGTAACAACAAAAGTAACATTTTATTATGTACGGGCACTGACTACCAAGGCCAGCAGGCAAAACTGGTTGCAATAACGTTTGGCTAATGTCCTTTGCGGCGCCATGGGTTTTACACCGGTTGTAAAAGGACTGTTTTTTTTCTTTACACATATTTTTTGTGACAAGAAAACAACATCTTTACCTGGTTGTAATCTGGTTACCTAACAAGAAAACGTCAATATGACGTCCCATGCCAAATAGGGTGGTGTGAATTGGGAAACAGGAAACAGACATGCTAAACTAGGTCATTTTGCTATGTAGATTTACTATCCCTTTAAGGTGCCTGGGCGGAATAGGAGAGATGTGCATGCTTTCCTCTCGTATTCAGACAGACTAGCTATCAAAGCATAGCACCCTCATTATCTACAGTAATTAAGCAGTACTGCCTCACTGGGTTCCTCCACTGTATGGCTTAGGATGATTGAATTAGGCTCAGATCACAAAAAACACTGTCTCTCCCCCTACACACCCTTACAATGAACACACACACACACTCCCACACCCGAGCTCACACACACCCAAGTAATTCAAGCATCAATGGCTATTGTGACTAGTACAATGGGGCTGTCGGCTAAGCTTCAGAGCTTTGAACACAAGTTTCGATACTTCACAAGACATTAATTCGATGAAAAGTTAATTAGAAGTTTGTGAGAGCGTGTTTAAAGGCTTTATTAAAATTATCTCACTGTGACAGTTTAAGGAGACGTAGGTTCCGGCTGTAGGGCCTTCTACATCATCACACAAAGTTTTTAAAGAGTTTTACCTCTGGAGTCTACTTTGAGTTTCAGGATGACTTCGGGATGATATGTGATCATGAGTGGTGGATAAAATCGTATTAAACACCATAAACCTCTAGCCCTCTATAAAACAGCACTGTGGTTTACTTCATGCCAAAAGACCAAGATCAAAATGGCAGTAATCTAAAAGACTTTGGGGCCGTTCAGGACTAGGTTTAATCCGTGTCCGGGAAACGGCCTCTCAATGGTCATTACAGATTTTAGATATAGAAAATCCTCGCCCATAAAATATCAATACTGTAGCTCCATTTAATGGGATGATCCTAGGAATAGATGACAGAAAAGGTGATTCCATCTGTGGTGCCAGTGCTGTCCTTTATAAAAGGCCTATTTTGGTGTAATGCAAAAGCAATAGTGTTGGAACATCAATACAGTCACAATCACATTACAAACGGCTGGGTATTGGACCTCCTATTCTATTTCACAGATTTAAAATGTTCTTCTATATTTTCTGTCACCAGAGATGTCACTGTGAGCGCTGCTTTTATGATATCAAATTCACAAGAAAATACATTTATGGAGCCAATTATTTTCCTCAGCCTGATGTAATGTCCCCGAATTACAATGATAAAACAAATGGATAGACGTAACAAGATTGATCTGTGGGGAAAAAAACAACTCGATTTATGACACACACCATACAGACTTATACAAACACACACACACACACACACACACACACACACACACACACACACACACACACACACACACACACTTATACACACACACACTTATACACACACACACACTTATACACACACACACACACACACACTTATACACAAACACACACTTATACACACACACACACACACACACACACACACACGTATACACACACACTTTAGCCTGAATTTAGATGTGTGTGACTTGTTTCTGATAACGATGGGAAAAGAGGGAGATTTTTGTATTTATTTATATGGCTTTAACACATAATTTAGGGTTAGGGCATAGGGATATAGGTTACTATATATATGTTATACTGTACACTATAGGTATGGTATAGGGTTAGTGTATAGCCTACCTTAGAGCATAACAACTGGATTGTGTGGGCCCCTAAAGTGTGTCCTGTAGTATAGAGTATGTGTTTAAGGCCCTCAAACTCAACTCTGGACCTCCAAGCCAGTTCCACTGTGTTTTTTCATTGTTCCCCTCTAACCAGGGACTGATTTAGACCTGGGACACCAGGTGGTGCAATTCATTATAAGGTAGAACAGAAAACCAGCAGGCTCCAGACCTCGTAGGGTAGGGAGTTGAATACCCCTAGTATAGGGTTAGTGTATAGGGTATAGGGTTAGTGTTTAGGGTATAGGGTTAGTGTATAGGGTATAATCAAATCAAATCACATTTTATTTGCCACATGCGCCGAATTCAACAGGTGTAGACCTTACAGTGAAATGCTTACTTACAAGCCCTTAACCAACAATGCAGTTTTAAGAAAAAAATTAATAAATAGATAAATAACAAATAAAAGCAAATAATTAAAGAGCAGCAGTAAAATAAAATAACAGTATGGAGGCTATATACAGGGGGGTACCTGTACAGAGTCAATGTGTGGGGGCAGTCATGGGTGAACAGGGAGTACAGGAGGGGACTGAGCACGCACCCCTGAGGGGCCCCTGTGTTGAGGATCAGCATGGCAGATGTGTTGTTACCTACCCTTACCACCTGGGGGTGGCCCGTCAGGAAGTCCAGGATCCAGTAGGGTTAGTGTATAGAGTTAGTGTATAGGGTATAGGGTTAGTGTATAGGGTATAGGATATAGAGTATAGGGTTAGTGTATAGGGCATGGGGTTAGCGTATAGGGTAAGTGTATAGGGTATAGGGTTAATGTATATGGTATAGGGTTAGTGTATAGGGTTAATGTATAGCCTACCTTAGAGCGTAACAACTGGATTTGAAGTTCTCTGATCTCAAAGTGAAAGAAGAGTCAATCTCCCTTCAGCGGCCCACAGCCCCTTGAAATAAAATAGGCCTAACAACGTCTGTTGCAAATGACACCCTATTCTCTTTATAGTGCACTACTTTTGATCAGAGCCCTATGCACCCTGGTCAAAAGTAGTGCACTAAATAGGGAATAGGATGCCATTTGAGATGCAACCCATGAAACCCAAGGCTCCACATGATCTATGGCCTATAAGGGTTTTCCCATTGAGAGTATAATTACAAGGATGACCTCTAACTCTGACCAAGGTCAGACATGTTAGTCTTTCTTTAGCCTCCATTACCGCCAGTTCATCTGGAGAGCGGTGGCACAAAGCTAAATGTAATCTCCGCCGAGATATCGCCTTGCCAAGTCGGGACTTGGTCCAGCGCTATAACTCTGTGAGACAATCAAGCGGGGAGAAATTGAATCATGAAGTTGTAATGATAAAGGAAGCAGCTGAATGATAGTGTCCCCTTCTGTAAATCCAATACGAGGTTTTATCTACTTTGTAATGAAGCTGATTCGTAACTAAAGGACCCTGGAGACATTAAAGTGACGTGGCAGGGATGGCGTTGTGAGGTATGTAGAGAACACACTCCTAGAGAGGAGTATGGAGACGTGTCTGGACCTAGAGCTGCTGTGTTAGGTTATGTTGAGAAAAGGTTGCAGATTGGTTGTCTAAAGTAGCCTACCATTGGTTGTCTAAAGTAGCCAACCGTTGGTAGTCTAAAGTAGTCTACCGTTGGTAGTCTAAAGTAGTCTACCGTTGGTAGTCTAAAGTAGTCTACCGTTGGTAGTCTAAAGTAGTCTACCGTTGGTAGTCTAAAGTAGCCTACGGTTGGTAGTCTAAAGTAGCCTACCGTTGGTAGTCTAAAGTAGCCTACCGTTGGTAGTCTAAAGTAGCCTACCGTTGGTAGTCTAAAGTAGCCTACCGTTGGTAGTCTAAAGTAACCTACCGTTGGTTGTCTAAAGTAGCCTATTGTTGATTGTCTAAAGTAGCCTATTGTTGATTGTCTAAAGTAGCCTACGGTTGGTAGTCTAAAGTAACCTACCGTTGGTAGTCTAAAGTAGCCTACCGTTGGTTGTCTAAAGTAGCCTACCGTTGGTTGTCTAAAGTAGCCTACTGTTGGTTGTCTAAAGTAGCCTACTGATCATCTCGGCCTAATGCTATTTTATTTTATTTTTGTACACATTTGTATTCATGTTTTGAATTAATCTAATGTTCCATGTTCCATTAGGCCAAATAGACTTGGCTGCAGGTGGCTTAGATTAGAGGTGGCTAGGCTACATGGCGTAGGCCTTTATGTTGGTTGGTTAAAAAGTCTTAAGGAAGTCTGCAGGTGATACGCAGGCTAATTATCAGGATAAAACTAAAAAAGGACACAACCTAGAATAATGCACTTGTAAGAGAGGCAAAATAATGGCAATGCAAAGTTATGAAGACACCGTTGGAAGGGTACACTTGAGATATGAGAATGACGTAATTCAGGTTTTAGATTAGGCCTTGTGTACAGTGTTTTCCTAGTCGAGCAGTTATTCCTTGCTCGGAAACACCTTAGTCATGACTTCTTCTCGCAGGAACTTCACGCCAATAGTGCTAAATCTGCCGGCGCGTGATTCACAGCGCGGGAAGGTGATGCCTGAGCGCTCGTTTCGCTGGAACATCTATGCATCTGCGATGAGGCTAAAAGGTCATCAAGATTTTAATCTCCTATGTCAGCAAAAACATATACAGGGCCTATACTTTCTCTCTCCTCTGCATCAATAGCATTGATAGAACTGACCATTTTGCAACTCCACTTCTTGTTTTGAATGAAATGCTGAATCCTTGTAGCCTTTGAACAATCAATTGTTAGTGAATATGAGAGATCCACAGGCCTGATCCAAAATAAAATATATCTATGGTTATTTATGACAGTGCATAAAACCCTTGGATAATTTTGACTCTGCCACTGATGATGGCACCGACAGAGAAGGGCGACATCTTATGAGTTCCAACCCAACTCTGCTATGTAGTGAGTGACTTTCATTGTGTTTATCTTAACTTTTTGTACGGAAAGTTCAAACTATTATCACATACACTGAGTGTACAAAACATTAGGAACACCTTAGTATTGAGTTGCACCCCCTTTTCCCCTCAGAACAGCCTCAATTTGTCAGGGCATGGACAAAAAGTTGTCAAACGTTGTCAAAGGTTAAGCGACTCCAATGCTTCCCACAGCTGGGTCAAGTTGGCTGGATGTCCTTTGGGTGGTGGACCATTCTTGATACACACGGGAAACTGTTGAGCGTGAAAAACCCAGCAGCGTTGCAGTTCTTGACACACACAGACCGGTGCGCCTGGCACCTACTACCATACCCTGTTCAAAGGAACTTAAATATTTTGTCTTGCCCATTCACCCTCTGAATGGCACACATACACAATCCATGTCTCAATTGTCTCAAGGCCTAAAAATCCTTAATTGACCTGTCTCCTCCCCTTCATCTACACTGACTGAAGTGGATTTAACAGGTGACATAATTAAGGGATCATAGCTTTCACCTGGTCAGTCTATGTCATGGAAAGAGCATGTTTTGTACACACACACTACACTCCCGTACAAAACCCACACACATTCACATACACTACATACGCACAGATACATGTAACACACACACCAACATAACACACACACACATATACTTTTACAGTCATCATATGCTGCTGCTACTCTGTTCTTTATTTTACTCTTATTATTATCTATTCTGATGCCTAGTCACTTTACCCTGCCTTTGTGTACAGTGCCTTCAGAAAGTATTCACAACCCTTGACTTTTTCCACATTTTGTTGTTTTACAGCCTTTTTTTGTCACTGGCCTCTATACACAATACCCCATAATTGCAAAGTGGAATTATGTTTTTTGAAATGTTTCCAAATTAATTAAAAATGAAAAAGCTGAATTGTCTTGAGTCAATAAGTATTCAACCCCTTTGTTATGGCGAACCTAAATAAGTTCAGGAGTAAAAATGTGCCTAAAAAGTCACATAATTGTGATGAGGTGGTGATGAAGGAGTCAGGCGCAGGAGGGTAAATCACAGAATAACAGGCTTTAATCCGCAAAATACAGGTTTACGGAGAAATGCGTCAAACACACTCCAGGGCACAAAACAGGCGCACTGGAAAAAACAAGGCATACGGGAAAAATACTTGTCGATACACAATACACAAGCTCCACCGAGCTTCACTAACCTCCACAAATAAACAATCACCCACAAGGACAAGGGGGCAGAGGGAACACTTATACACGGAGTAATTAGGGGAATAGAACCAGGTGTGTGTGATTGACAAGACAATTGTGATGATGATTGGGGCGGCAGTGGTTAGTACTCCGGTGACGACGAACGCCGAAGCCTGCCCGAACAAGGAGGGGAGGCAGCCTCGGCGGAAGTCATGACAATAATAAGTTGCATGGACTCACTCTGTGTGCAAAAACAGTGTTTAACATGATTTTTGAATGACTTTCTCATCTCTGTACCCCACACATACAATTATCTGTAAGGTCCCTCAGTCGAGCAGTCAATTTCAAACACAGACTCAACCACAAAGACCAGCGAGTTACAGAGTTAGAGTTTAATGACTGTGATAGGAGAGAACTGAGGATGGATCAACAACATTGTAGTTACTCTACAATACTAACCTAAATGACAGTGATAAGGAAGCCTGTACAGAATACAAATATTCCAAAACATGCATCCTGTTTGCAGCAAGGCACTAAAGTAATACTGCATAAAATGTGGCAAAGCAATTAAAGTTTTGTCCTGAATATAAAGTGTTATGTTTGGGGCAAATCCAATACAACACATTACTGAGTACCACTCTAATTTTCAAGCATAGTGGTGGCTGCATCATGTTATGGGTATGCTTGTAATAGTTAAGGACTGGGGAGTTTTTCAGGATGAAAAAGAAACAGTATGGCGCTAAGCACAGGCAAAATCCTAGAGAAAAACCTGGTTCGGTCTGCTTTCCACCAGACACTGGGAGATGAATTGACCTTTCAACAGGACAATAACGTAAAACACAAGGCCAAATATACACTGGAGTTGCTTACCAAGAAGACAGTGAATGTTCCTGAGTGGCCAAGTTACACTTTTGACATAAATCTGCTTGAAAATCAAATTGCAAATATTGTACAATCCAGGTGTGCAAAGCTCATAGAGACGTACCCAGAAAGACTCACAGCTGTAATCGCAGAAAAGGTGATTCTAACATGTATTGACTCTTATGGAAATGAGATATTTCTGTATTTCATTTTCAATCAATTTTGAAAAGATTATAAAAACATGTTTCACTTTATCTTTATGGTATTGTGGGTAGATGTTATATACATATATATATATATTTTTTTTTTACATACATTTGCAATTCAGGCTGTAACATCAACATTTTGAATGAGTCAAGGGGTATGAATACTTTCTGAAGGCACTGTACATATCTACCTCAAATATCTGGTACTGGTTCTCCCTTTATATAGCTCCATTCCTGTTTATTTTATTGTTACTATTGTATTATTTTGAAACTCTGCATCATTGGGTGCGTGCTCAGTCCCCTCCTGTACTCCCTGTTCACCCATGACTGCATGGCCAGGCACGACTCCAACACCATCATTAAGTTTGCCGACGACACAACAGTGGTAGGCCTGATCACCGACAACGATGAGACAGCCTATAGGGAGGAGGTCAGATGCCAGGATAACAACCTCTCCCTCAACGTGACCAAGACAAAGGAGATGATTGTGGATTACAGGAAAAAAAAGAGGACTGAGCACGCCCCCATTCTCATCGACGGGGCTGTAGTGGAACAGGTTGAGAGCTTCAAGTTCCTTGGTGTCCACATCACCAACGAACTATCATGGTCCAAACACACCAAGACAGTCGTGAAGAGGGCACGACAAAGCCTATTCCCCCTCAGGAGACTGAAAAGATTTGGCACGGGTCCTCAGATCCCCAAAAAATTATACAGCTGCACCATCGAGAGCATCCTGACTGGTTGCATCACCACCTGGTATGGCAACTGCTCGGCCTCCGACCGCAAGGCACTACAGAGGGTAGTGCGTACGGCCCAGTACATCACTGGGGCCAAGCTTCCTGCCATCCAGGACCTCTATACCAGGCGGTGTCAGAGGAAGGCCCTCAAAATTGTCAAAGACTCCAGCCACCCTAGTCATAGACTGTTCTCTCTGCTACCGCACAGCAAGCGGTACCGGAGTGCCAAGTCTAGGTCCAAAATACTTATCAACAGCTTCTACCCCCAAGCCATAAGACTGAACAGCTAATCATGGCTACCCGGACTATTTGCACTGCCCCCCCACCCCCACCCCCCACCCCATCCTTTTTATGCTGCTGCTACTCTGTTAATTATTTATGCATAGTCACTTTAACTCTACCCACATGTACATATTACTTCATGGGAAACATTTCAAACAATAAAAGCACAATTATTCTAAACACAACCGTCATTTACATAAAGTACACTTTATACCTCTCTCTTAATGCATTTAATGCATGCCTCAATTTGAATAAACTTCCAGCTGCCAATGAGCCACATTATCGTTTAACTGAGCAAACGTTTTTGTGAAAACACCACTAGGTCATAAAAGCCAATCAATAAAATGCATTGGTGATCATTCTTCTGTGTGTATGGCTGTCTGCAAACAGCACGAATCAATTAAGCATTAAGACAAAACATTATAGCGGCTGTCAGACTATGATCACTGGTATTACATTTCATCTGCTCTGGTAATGGTGCCCTAGCTCAGCAAATCGAGTCTAAACTAATATTACAGACAGCTCACCAGAGCCCAATACTATGAATCTGGTTTGAGGAGTTGGCAAGGTAACTTTGGTCAACGCTTAGTTCAACTCGGGATAACTGGTGACACGAAAGTGGCTCACCTTTTAGCCAGGTACATTTCTATGTCAACGAATCCTTCAGAACTAACCTGCTCCGGCCAGACTAATGTAGGACCAACTCCATTTATACCCGAATGAAGCATGTTGCGAGTTGAGGACCAATTAAATCAGAGTATCCCTCTCGCAAAGATTGCGTCATCATCCCCTTCATTTGAGGAAGACTACTGATTAAATATTGTATTAATAAAAAAATGTTGGTGTTAAAATATAGTAATAATAAAATACCTATCACATTACATATTTAGTAATGACAGAATGCATTTGAAACTTCAGGCACAGTAAAACATAAAATACGGCATTAACTATTTGGAATAAAAAAGTCAGTGACACCAAAGGCTGCTGAATTTGCAAGATAAACTTTTCTTTCATTTTGATTTCGTCACTGACTCGACCATGGATTGATGTTTCAGCGTTCTCAGTGACGAGTTCGGTGCTCGACTAGCCACGTGTGACATGAACGCGCAGTTACAAGCCCAGCTCCAGCAGCCTCGAGTATGCGGCGGGTGCACGATCAATATCCACCTTCGGAGTACGGCTACACAGTAGCCTGAGCTGGAACGTAAAGCTGATTGAGTCTGTCTAGCTTTAGAAAGCCCTGAGTAATTCTAGTTTGCATCGTAGTATACCCCTCGAAGCTGTAAACGGCCAGTGGCTGGATTTGTTAACAGCCTGATGGCACCTTCTAGTGGACTGACATACATTTGCAGCTTGTGAACCTTCCCAGTAGTCAGCGGTGAATAGGTACACAGGGAGGCATGAAAACGAAATGCATTCATCATTGCCCGTTTTTTAAAACTCAAGTCAAATTAACTATTTTCAGACCAGTAGCATATGTACAAAAACGTGCTTTTTTTTTGTTGTACAATCATCTTTGTTTGGCATCAGTCGTCAACGGATGCGTCAATTAAAAAAAACCATTGGCTCATTCTTTAATTTCCAGACACAAAATCCATGTCTGCAGCCTCACACTTCAAAACAGGATGATATTATGTATGGCCTCTTTTCAGCCCGTTATGTATACTGAACAAAAATACAAATTCAACAAGTGTTGGTCCCATTTTCATGAGCTGAAATAAAAGATCCCAAAAAAATTCCATACATGCAAAGAACTTATTTCTCTCAAATGTTGTGCACAAATTTGTCTACATCCCTGTTGGCATTTCTCTTTTGCCAAGATAATCCATCTACCTGACAGGTGTGTCATATCAAGAAGCGGATTAAATGGCATGATCATTGCACAGGTGCACCTTGTGCTGGGGACAATAAAAGGCCACTCTAAAATGTGCAGTTTTGTCACACAACACAATGCTACAGATGTCTCAAGTTTTGAGGGAGCATGCAATTGGCATGCTGACTGCAAGAATGTCCACCAGAGCTGTTGCCAGAGAATTTCATGTTAATTTCTGTACCATAATGTCGTTTTAGAGAATTTGGCAGTACGTCCAACCGGCCTCACATCCGCAGACCATGTGTAACCACACCAGCCTAGGACCTCCACATCCAGCTTCTTCACCTGCGGGATCGTCTGAGACCAGCCACTTGGACAGCTGATTAAACTTTCTGTTTGTAATAAAGCCCTTTTGTGGTGAAAAACTAATTCTGATTGGCTGTGGGTGGGCCTATGCCCTCCCAGGCCCACCCATGGCTGCGCCCCTGCCCAGTCATGTGAAATCCATAGATTAGGGCCTAATTTATTTCAATTGACTGATTTCTTTATATGAACTATAACTCAGTAAAATCGTTGAAATTGTTGCATGTTGTGTTTATGTTTTTGTTCAGTATAGTAAGATGCATAGGGTGTATACTGTATATATCCTTGATGGGTCCTAATACAGTGGACTTGTAAAGATGCAGGTACAGTAATGAACATGCCCCCTCAGTTTCAACCAGCGTGATGCATCTGCAGTCTCTCTCTCTCTCTCTCTCCTCCTCTCCTCCTCTCCTCTCTCTCCCCCTCTCCTCCCTCTTCTCTCCTCTCTCCTCTCTCTCTCGTGTCTCTACTCTCTTCTCTCATCTCTGCTCTCTCTCGTCTCTCTCTCTCTCTCCTCCTCTCTCTCTCTCCTCTCATCGTCTTCCGTCTCATCCTTGCTCTCTCTCTCCTCTCTCAGTGTCTCTCTTCTCTCTCCTCGCTCTCCTCCTCTCTCTCTCTCTCTCCTGTCTCTTCTCTCTCTCTCTCTCTCTCTCTCCCTCCTCGTCTCCTCCTCCTCTCTCTCTCTCTCTCTCTCTCACTCTCTCACTCCTCCTCTCAACTCACTCACTCACTCACTCACTCACTCTCCGCCTCTCTTTCTCCCCCCCCGATCTCCAGAGAGGCTCACTAGCCGTATGGTAAACACTGTAGTGTAATTGGTTCTACCCCCAGGCGGCCAGGCTCTGCAGCAGCAACAGCATGGAGAAATGAAGACAAATTGGCTGTAAGAGACTTAACCAAACAGAGTAGAAACAGACTGCAGGGAAAATAACCACTCCATTTAGACTTGTTCTGAAGCGGCTGGTCAGAGTTCAGACAGCTCCCTTATCTTTAGATTTTGTGTTGATAGTTTTTTCAGACAGACATGTGGACCAAAGGACTTCCCAGTCCGCTGTCACCGAAAAAAGAAAGACCTAAGATTGAAAGCATTTAAATTTTTCTCTCTATAATGATACAAGCCCACATCATTTTCGAGACGCTATTGCCATCGCCAACAGTTCAGTAGTATATCTTTTGTTGCTTTTTTAGATATATATTTTTGTTTTATGGACAGTGACAGTTGGAAGGTAGAGAGGGAGACAGAGAGGCCTGCAGAAGGTGGGATTCGTAACCCCGTTGCCTGCAGGTATGTGTGGTCCAGAGTAGGCAGAGCTATCACTAGACCAAGTAATTCATTGTTTTAAAATGAGAACTAACCACCTTTCACTTGACCACAGTGTGTCTTTAACAATCAAATAAATTAAATAAATTGGTATCAGAGAGCAGCCGACATGTCAATCAATCAGCACTAGATGGCAGAAGCGAGCCGTGTCTCTGTCTTGTTCTGTATGTATGGGAGTGACTTGATTCGTCCCAAATGGCACCCTATGGCCTGTGTAGTGCACTGCTTTTGACCAAGCCCTGGTCAAAAGTAGTGCACTATATAGGTGATAGGGTGCCATTTGGGATGTATTTAGATCTGATGGATATCCCTATTAAATGCTCACACAGCTAATTAAAGGCATTCTGTTGTTGCATGCAGTTTGTTTACAGTGGATTGATAATGCCCATTTAAACTAACCTCAGCCCATTGTATCAAAGCAAACATAAGCCCCATCAAATAAACAGTAAATACAACCCATTCTGTCTCCCTATATGCACCCTGGGTAATAATAGTTAATATTTGATGGATAGATTGTGGTGGGGTACTTATCTCCCGAGTGGCGCAGTGGTCTAAGGCAATGCATCGCAGTGCTAGCAGAATCCAGGCTCTGAGGTAGCCGGCCGCGACCGGGAGACCCATGGGGCGGCACACAATTGGCCCAGGGTAGGGGAGGGGATGGCCGGCAGGGATGTAGCTCAGTTGGTAGAGCATGGTGTTTGCAACGCCAGGGTTGTGGGTTTGATTCCCACGGGGGGCCAGTATAAAAAAAGTAATGTATGCATTCACTAACTGTAAGTCGCTCTGGATAAGAGCGTCTGCTAAATGACTAAAATGTAAAATGGGTATGCCTTAATTAAACAATGATACAATCTTCATTGGAATATTTATCACACACACACTGAAACGATATGAAGCGTGTTTCATATTAAGAGTTTGTTAGAACTATAAGTTGGCTGGCAGCTTCAAACAGACTGCATTTGCTGCTGCTGCAGTCGAGACAGAGTGAGCCAGCACAGACATGAAAGGCTCATCCTGTTGGAAAGAGAGAGGAGCGCCAGTGAACTCTAGCTGAACTTGTCTCCTTGCTAGAGTCGCAACTAGAGCAGGTTATTTTAGATCGTTCTGCAGAGAGAAAGAGAGAGGTGACATTACTGATTTTTTCTGTTGGGTTGGTTTGAGACCTCTGTGTTAATTTTTAGGTCCACCAGCTCAAGTTCTGCGCTCGTGTGTGGAGCAGAGACATGCTCTAACTCTCCTCTCCTCTCCTCTCCTCTCCTCTCCTCTCCTCTCCTCTCCTCTCCTCTCCTCTCCTCTCCTCTCCTCTCCTCTCCTCTCCTCTCCTCTCCTCTCCTCTCCTCTCCTCTCCTCTCCTCTCCTCTCCTCTCCTCTCCTGCCAGTCAGCAGAAACCAAAAAACACAGAACCCAAAACTGGTTTCTCCTCCTCCTCCATGTCCTCCCTGCAGATGCACTGTGCAGCCAGTCACCGTACAAACCATTCTCTTTATTTCTGTCTCAGGGATCAAACGCTGAAAACACAGACACTGAAAACACATGGCTGGAGCATCACATAAATTACCTGGTTTTCTCTCTCTCTCTCTCTCTCTCTCTCTCTCTCTCTCTCTCTCTCTCTCTCTCTCTCTCTCTCTCTCTCTCTCTCTCTCTCTCTCTCTCTCTCTCTCTCTCTCTCTCTCTCTCTCTCTGTATTGGGGAATCAGATCATATTGTGGGAGATGTTAGGGACAGAAGACAAGAAGGGTTTTAGGCTGTGTTTCTGTATAAGCACTTTGTGACATCTGCTGATGTAAAAAGGGCTTTATAATTACATTTGATTGATTGATAGGAACGTGAGCAGCAGACTCATGCTGATTAAATTGCTGTAAGAGTGCGTGCCAGCAACCAAAGCCTTCTGTTGAAACATTACAGATTAAAGTAAATCCCTGAGCCCAAACGTATCATGCCCTAGCAGAAGGTTTATCTTTTTAGAGGACTATCTTAGTAAATTAAGACCTCGGGTAAAGTATCAACTGTCTGTTGACGGTTTGGTTGATCGTGTTAATCATGCCTAAAAGAAAATGGTGAATATTATCAATTTTGTGCAGAATTGTTTAGTTTTTTGCATAGAATGCGATTTTGGAGGGAAGCTCAGATGAAAGAGAATGATCGTCTTTGAACATATTTTTTGTTGTTGACAGAAACACAGGACTGTTTTTAGCTGATTCATCAGCTCTGCTCCTGTCTTACTCCTCTATGTCCCATAGAAACATGTTTCATCCTATCCAATATTTACTTCATTTCTGAACAGGAAAGCTTTGACTATCTAATGCCCCTATTTCTGCTCTCAGGAACAACAAATACACATTTCCATTCTCATGTTCTGTCATGTGTTTGACACAGAGAACCTGTGTAGTCCTCTGTAGCTCAGCTGGTAGACCACGGCGCTTGTAACGCCAAGGTAGTGGGTTCGATCCCCGGGACCACCCATACACAAATAAATGTATGCACACATGACTGTAAGTCGCTTTGGATAAAAGCGTCTGCTAAATGGCATATTATTATATTATTATTATTATAGTCCTGACTGGCATGGTCCTCTACACTGTGACAGAGAGAGAGGTGAGGGGAGAACATAGAGAGAAGAGAAAGAGGTTCCCATACACTCCACTTCCCCAGTGACCTCTGACCCCTATAGAAAACCATCAGACTGTCCCTCCCTCCCTCCCTCCCTACCCCCCCTCCCTTCCTTCCTTCCTTCCTTCCTTCCTTCCTTCCTTCCTTCCTTCCTTCCTTCCTTCCTTCCTTCCTTCCTTCCTTCCTTCCTTCCTTCCTTCCTTCCTTCCTTATTCCCTGCCTCCCTCCCTCACTCCCCCTCCCTACCTGCCTCCATCCCTTTCCATGACCAGGGGAGAGAACCACCCCCCACCTCCCATCACCTCCCAAAACAGGCCTTGGCATTATCTACACCCCCTCCTCACTTCCGCTCCGACTGACTCCACTTTTGTAACCCCTCACCCCCTCTCTCCCCAGCCCTCTGCCCCTGCTCAGACACTTGAACCTTGACCCTGGCCATACAATGTCAGACTGTGTGAACGACGTCTGGATAATAAAACAGGCTCTTTGTTGTTCATCACCCCTCCCTAAGCCAATGGCAGGTCATAGACCCTTCTAACCTGTTGCTCCAGACACACATTCTTACACACACACATATGCATGCATGCACACACACACACATACACACAGGCTGGCTGGCTGGGTTTCCCAGGCCTCTGGCTGCTGCTGGGGTCTTTATCAGCAGAGAACTATAGAACTTAAGACGTCTCTGACTGGTGTTTATTTACTTTAGTCAATTTGGACCTGTCACCGCTGCCTGATGCTGGAGTCTGTCTGGTGTGTGAAACTTAATACAGCTGTCTAATCCTGCCCTGCTACAAAGACTCTTTGTGAAGACCGGAGAGAGAACCTGGGAACACATAGGATTTTTGAGATTCGTCCCAAATGGGTGTCTAGTGGCACCCTAATCCCTTTATAGTGCACTACTTTTGACCAGGGCCCATAGGGTTCTGGTCAAAAGTGCTACACTATATGAATAGGGTGCAATTTGGGACCCAGACTTTGAGATGATCCCTTCTCTTTCCCACATGACTGAAAGTCTTACAGGATGGTCTCAAACTTGACTTTTTCGTATTATTATTCATCTGTATAACCTAAAGGGGAACCCCATGTAGAATATAATATAATATAAATAGTTTTCCCTTTTGTCCAATCTCACATGTAACATATGATAACCACACAAGACAAGTTATAAAAAAGAAAGATGCTTGAGAAAGGCCAACACCGTAATCTAAGATGTAACTTTCTGTCTGTCTTGCTAAATCCCCCCCACTAGAGGTCACTATGAGGTTGATAAAGGTACTGTCATGTTCTGTCCCCCGACTAGAGGTCACTATGAAGTTGATAAAGGTACTGTCATGTTCTGTCCCCCCACTAGAGGTCACTATGAGGTTGATAGAGGTACTGTCATGCTCTGTCCCCCCACTAGAGGTCACTATGAGGTTGATAGAGGTACTGTTATGTTCCGTTATGAAACCTTCGTTCTCCTTTGTCTCACTGCAGCAATGCTGCTCTGTAGACAGTCTGGGGTGGGGTAGTGTGTGTGTGTGTGTGTGTGTGTGTATGTGTGTGTATGTGTGTGTGCAGTTACATACGTGTGTGTGCATGTGGGTTTTGTCTCACTGCAGCACTGATGCTCTGTACACTGTCTAGGAGGTTTCATTAAGGTCTCTCATTCTGTCTGTTCCAATGATGCATGTGTCAAGATGTACATGTTTGTGAGTATGTCTCTGTAGATGCTGGCTTTGGGACTCACATTCTGACCTGCATTATAATTCATGGATTCTGTCTGTCCCTAAGATAGCGTTCTGGCAGTAAGTTCAACACATATTTCAACTGATGCTTATCGACAGCACATGCAGAGGCAGACACTCATACATGAATACGCTAGACAGGTGTGTTTAACACCTGTGCATTCTGTCCTCACACAGCCAGACAGAGAAGACACATTGTCCTTAGGTAAACCCTACAGTCTCTGCTCTAGTATAATACACATACACACCAGTGGAGGCTGCTGAGGGGAGGACGGCTCATAATAATGTCTGGAATGGCGCTAATGGAATGGCATCAAACACATAGGAACAATGTTTGATACCATTCCACTGATTCCACTCCAGCCATTACCACAAGGCCGTCGTCCCCAATTAAGGTGGCATGCAAACACACACACACACACAATGCTGAGTGGCAGGAGATAAGGGTGAGAGGGTGGCAGTCTAGTGGTTGAGCGTTGGGCCAGTAAACGAAGGTCGTTGGTTCGAATCGACTAGGTGTGCCCTTGACTGAGACACTTAACCCTAATTGCTCCTATAAGTAGCACTGGATATGAGCGTCTGCTAAATGACTAAAATATCCCCATTCATGTGGCACAGGAACTGGACTAAGAAGATAGATATAACCAGAAGTCTACTTACAATGTGCTGTGTCAAAGAGTGATGTCTGTTTTAGTGTATTCAACCATAAAGGTCATCTGTCCATAGGAATATTAGGTTTAACTTAGATAATTGGGTGATAATTGAAACAAAGAAAGAACTAGTGAATGAGTGGGTGTACTGCATGTAACCCACTGACCCACATCCACTAGAGAGACTATATGTATGAATGACCAAACAAATACATGAATTAAAAAAATCGAGCCAGAGAAGAAAACAGTGGCTAGACTAGAGCCCCCAGGGCATGGATAGTGTGTGTGTGTGTGTATGTGTGTGTGTGTGTGTGTGTGTGTGTATGTGTGTGTGTGTGTGTGTGTGTGTGTGTGTATGTGTGTATTTGTGTGTGGGCGTGTGTGTGTATTTGTGTGTGTATGTGTGTATTTGTGTGTGGGCGTGTGTGTGTATTTGTGTGTGTATGTGTGTATTTGTGTGTGGGTGTGTGCCTGTGATCCCGTACAATCTCTTTGATCAGACTTTATTTGTGATGAGGGGGATGCTTAACAACGTAACACACTGACCCATTTCCGCTAGAGAGACTAGCGTAGGAACATACAAGGGCCTAGTTACATCTCAGAGCATCACTGGATGGACGGACAGGAAGACAGACGGACACAGACAGACAGACAGACTGAACACTGAACATCACTGCCTCCATACCTCACTGATCAAAGAGCATTATAGATGTTGGTTCTCTTTTAACACCCTGGTTCTCTGATTCTCAATGGGACTGATGACACCTTTCTCAATTCCTTACCAGGACTTTAAGACTACAGTTGTAACAGTGTGGTCACAGCCTGCTGCTGAGGTCATTGTTGTGTTGTAACTGTGTGGTCACAGCCTGCTGCTGAGGTCATTGTTGAGTTGTAACAGTGTGGTCACAGCCTGCTGCTGAGATCATTGTTGTGTTGTAACAGTGTGGTCACAACCTGCTGCTGAGATCATTGTTGTGTTGTAACAGTGTGGTCACTGCCTGCTGCTGAGGTCATTGTTGTGTTGTAACTATGTGGTCACAGCCTGCTGCTGAGGTCATTGTTGAGTTGTAACAGTGTGGTCACTGCCTGCTGCTGAGGTCATTGTTGAGTTGTAACAGTGTGGTCACTGCCTGCTGCTGAGGTCATTGTTGAGTTGTAACAGTGTGTCACGACTTCCGCCGAAGTTGGTGCCTCTCCTTGTTCGGGTGGCGTTCGGCGATCGTCGTCACCGGCTTTCTAGCTGCCACCGATCTACGTTTCTTTTTCCATTTGTTTTGTCTTGATTGTACACACCTGGTTCCCATTACATTATATTATTTCCCTATTTAACCCTCTGGTTCCCACATGGTTTTGTGCGTGTTTGTTCTTTGTTTTGTGTCTAAGACTTATGTGAGCTAGTGTGTTTTCCCTGCGTGGAAATTAGTGTTGTTTATTTTTTGAGTAAAGTACGTCGTTTACTCAGTTCTGTGTCCTGTGCCTGACTCCGTCCTACCGCTGCACATTGACACTTGACAGAAACACACACCACATATGGAGTCAGCAGGTGCATCCAGTCTTCCGGTACCAGTGGAGGAGCGCGTCCAGCAGCACGCGTTGATGCTCCAGAATCTTGGCACAGCCATGGATCGCGTGTTGCAGACCATGGAGAGATGGGAGAGAGGGGTTTTTCCCACAACCCCATCAACTTCAGATCAACCCACACCGATGTCCACCCCTCCGTCACTTGGACCCAGTGGGATTCGGCTCTCGCTCCCGAGGGCATATGATGGGACGGCTGCCGGGTGCCAGGGGTTCCTGCTCCAGGTGGAGCTCTACCTGGCGACCATCCACCCGGCTCCCTCGGGATACGAGAGCGTGTCCGCCCTCATGTCCTGTCTGCCGGGGAGAGCGCTTGAGTGGGCCAACGCCGAATGGGGAGGAATAGACGCAGCGTCGGTTCGCTATTAGGATTTCACCCGCCGCTTCCGGGCGGTCTTCGTTCATTCACCTGAGGGGAGAGCGGCGGGGGAACGCTTGTTCCACCTCAGACAGGGGAAGAGGAGCGCACAGGACTTCGCACTGGCCTTCAGGACCTTGGCGGCCAGCGCGGGATGGAATGAGAGGGCCCTGATCGACCATTACCGGTGTAGTCTACATGAGGACATTCGTCAGGAGCTGGCATGCAGGGACACCACCCTTACCCTCGACCAGCTGGTGGATTTATCTATACGGCTGGATAACCTGTTGGCCACCCGCGGACGTCCGGGTCAGGGTCCGTCCATTCCATCCCCCAGCACCTCCGACCCTACCCCTATGGAGCTCGGAGGTGCTGCTCTAAGGGTGACCGGAGGGGGGGCCGTTTCCTGCACCAACTGTGGCCGCAGAGGGCACACTGCTGGTCGGTGCTGGGGAGGTTCCCCAGGGAGTTGAGGCAGCAGGCAGGGCACTGGTGGATCATCCCAGGTGAGTAGGCACCCGACTCACCCAGAGCTCCCTGTTGTGCACATGTGTGTATGCATAGAATTTCCTGAGTTTTTCCCGCCTTCCCAGCATAAGGCGCTAGTAGATTCAGGCACAGCTGGGAACTTTATTGACGTTCATTTGTACGTAGATTAGGGATCCCTATTGTTCCTGTTGATGTGCCCTTCCCTGTACATGCCTTAGATAGTCGTCCTTTAGGGTCGGGCCTGATTAGGGAGGTCACAGCTCCACTATGTATGAAAACGCAGGAGGGTCATGAGGAGAGAATTAGTCTCTTCCTGATTGATTCTCCTGCGTTTCCCGTGGTGTTGGGGCTTCCCTGGTTGGCCTCTCATGACCCCACTATTTCGTGGCAACAGAGGGCTCTCAAGGGATGGTCACGTCAGTGCTCAGGGAGGTGTGTAGGTGTTTCCATAGGTGCAACTACGGTGGAGAGTCCAAACCAGGTCTCCACTATGCACATTCCCCCCGAATATGCCGATTTGGCTCTCGCCTTCTATAAAAAGAAGGCGACTCAACTACCACCCCATCGACAGGGGGATTGTGCGATAAATCTCCAGGTAGGCGCAGCACTTCCCAGGAGTCACGTGTATCCTCTGTCTCAGGAAGAGACGGCGGCTATGGAAACATATGTCTCCGAATCTCTGGGACAGGGATACATTGGGCCTTCTACTTCATCTGCCTCCTCAAGTTTCTTTTTTGTGAAGAAGAAGGATGGAGGTTTACGCCCGTGCATTGACTATCGAGGTCTAAATCAGATCACTGTGAAGTACAGTTACCCACTGCCTCTCATAGCCAGTGTGACAGAGTCATTGCACGGGGAGCGCTTCTTCACCAAATTGGATCTCAGGAGCGCTTACAACCTGGTGCGTATCCAGGAGGGGGATGAGTGGAAGACGGCATTTAGTACTACATCTGGGCACTATGAGTACCTCATCATGCCGTACGGGTTGATGAATGCTCCATCAGTCTTCAAATCCTTCGTAGACAAGATTTTCAGGGACCTGCACGGGCAGGGTGTAGTGGTGTATATAGATGACATTCTAATATACTCCGCTACACACGCCGAGCATGTGTCCCTGGTGCGCAAGGTGCTTGGTTGACTGTTGGAGCATGACCTGTACGTCAAGGCTGAGAAATGTCTGTTCTTCCAACAGTCCGTCTCCTTCCTAGGGTACCGCCTGTCCGCGTCAGGGGTGGAGATGGAGAATGACCGCATTTCAGCCGTGCGTAATTGGCCGACTCCAACCACGGTAAAGGAGGTAAAGCGGTTCTTAGGGTTTGCCAACTACTACCAGAGGTTTATCCGGGGCTTTGGTCAGGTAGCGGCTCCCATTACCTCCTTGCTGAAGGGGGACCGGTGCGACTGCAGTGGTCAGCTGGGGCGGACAGGGCTTTTGGTCACCTGAAGGCTCTGTTTACCTCGGCTCCCGTGCTGGCTCATCCTGATCCCTCCTTGGCATTCATAGTAGAGGTGGACGCGTCCAAGGCTGGGATAGGAGCTGTGCTGTCTCAGCTCGGGTACGCCACCAAAGCTCTGCCCCTGTGCTTTCTTTTCAAAGAAGCTCAGCCCGGTGGAGCGAAACTATGATGTAGGGGACCGGGAGCTGTTAGTTGTTGTCAGGACTCTGAAGGCATGGAGGCATTGGCTTGAGGGGGCTAAACACCCTTTCCTCATTTGGACTGACCACCGCAATCTGGAGTACATCCGGGCGGCGAGGAGACTGAACCCTCGCCAGGCAAGGTGGCCCATGTTTTTCACCCATTTTGTTTTCACCCTATTCTACAGACCAGGTTCCCAGAGCGCTAAGGCAGACGCACTGTCCCGGATGTATGACACAGAGGAGCGGTCCACGGATCCCACTCCCATACTTCCGGCTTCTTGCCTGGTGGCACCGGTGGTATGGGAGGTTGACGTGGACATCGAGCGGGCGTTACGTACGGAGCCCACTCCCACCCAGTGTCCAGTTGGGCATCTGTACGTTCCGTCTGATGTCCGCGATCGATTGATCTGTTGGGCCCACATGTCACCCTCCTCTGGTCATCCTGGCATCGGTCGGACAGTGTGCTGTCTTAGTGGGAAGTACTGGTGGCCCACTTTAGCTAAGGACGTGAGGGTTTATGTTTCCTCCTGCTCGGTGTGCGCCCAGTGCAAGGCACCTAGACACCTGCCCAGAGGGAAATTACAACCCTTACCCGTTCCACAATGGCCGTGGTCACACCTATCAGTGGACTTCGTGACGGATCTTCCTCCGTCACAAGGTAACACCACGATCCTGGTCGTTGTGGATCGGTTTTCTCCTTCCTTTGCCCGGTCTCCCTACGGCCCTACAGACTGCGGAGAACCTGTTTACCCACGTCTGACGGCACTACGGGGTGCCTGAGGATATAGTGTCTGATCGGGGTCCCCAGTTCACATTGAGGGTCTGGAGGGAGTTCATGGAACGTCTGGGGGTCTCGGTCAGCCTGACCTCAGGTTTTCACCCCGAGAGTAATGGGCAGGTGGAGAGAGTTAACCAGGATGTGGGTAGGTTTCTGCGGTCCTATTGCCAGGACCGGCCGGGGGAGTGGGCGGCTTTCATCCCCTGGGCAGAGATGGGCCAAAACTCCCTCCGCCACTCCTCCACTAACATGTCTCCGTTTCAGTGTGTACTAGGTTATCAGCCGGTCCTGGCACCGTGGCATCAGAGCCAGATCGAGGCACCTGCGGTGGATGAATGGTTTCAGCGCTCGGAAGAGACATGGGACGCTGCCCATGTGCGCCTGCCATCAGGCGACAGAAGGCGAGCGCCGACCGCCACTGCAGTGTGGTCACAGTTGTAACAGTGTGGTCACTGCCTGCTGCTGAGGTCATTGTTGTGTTGTAACTGTGTGGTCACTGCCTGCTGCTGAGGTCATTGTGATTAGGGCATCTTGGAGTGCTGATACAGGACCAGTTTTGCTATTTGGTTCATAACTAAAATGATTTATATGGACACATGGGAACTGATCCTAGATCACCACTCCTGCTCTAGGGTGCTTTTTGAAAATGGGCCTATGGCAGCATCTTCACTGCAGGGTTGTCGGTCAATTCCATTTCAACTCAATCAATTCAGGGAGTTGATTGAAAGTGACACAGAAAATAATGGCCCATTTTCAATTTATTGGATTTCAAACGCTCTCCTGCATTGACAAAGTAGAAAGAATTGAACCCAACCCTGTGTTTCACTTAGATAACAGTAATGATTATCATCTACAGGTTTTCTATCTATCCATTTATCAAAGAACTCTACCCTGTAACAGCACTTGGAACAGTCAAACAGTTTTAAATTCATATTTATTTTAAATCTTACTTTGTTTTGTTAGTCTTTCTTAATCTTGTAAAGTGTGTTGTTGTGACCCTTGTTAATGCATTTTAAATAAACCTTACTTGACATATAATAACAATTGTCATATCTCTATGGTTCCAACATGTTATGTTGCTTACTGTTGTGATCAAAGCAGGACCTTGACTGAACTCATTTCAGAAAGAGTGGATATCCAATTGTAGGGGTAAGCATTCAGAGGCGCTAAGTACTCTCAGCCCCCAAACGGTACTGTCAGAGCCCTAAAATGAACATCATATTACAATGATTTCTCATAGTTTAAAGATAGAGAGAGATATAGAGACAGAGAGAGAGAGCGAGAGAGAGAGAGAGTGAGAGAGCAAGTGAGAAAGAGAGAGAGACAGAGAGAGAGAGAGAGAGAGAGAGAGAGAGAGAGAGAGAGAGAGAGAGAGAGAGAGAGAGAGAGAGAGCACATGGTTTAATGAGCAGCGGTTTGCTCTGTTTTAATTTAAATGATAATTGGCTTAACAGAAGTTGTTTTTTTAAGACTCAAGATAATTAATTGCTTGCAGTAACAACAAGGAATTGATTTATTTCATTTAATTGATTTCCTGCAGAAAGTGTTTTCTCTCAGGGTTGATTGGAACTCATTATAAATGCCTCGAGCCTTGGGAGCCAAACACTTTCCACTCTTCCAGGTACACACATACATTTATGCTACACACAACTGCTGCTACCAGACTCTTATTTAATATTGCTAATACTGCATAATTTCAACACTTGCCCCCCAATCCTCCCTTGCCCAGAACATGTAAATATTGTACTATAATTTGTGCCTTCCTGTATTATACTGATGCTAAAATGTTTATTCTATTCTACTGAGCCATTTACTTTATGTTCGTATTCTTATCTTTTATTATTTCTTATTGTTGTTGTTGCATTGTCCAGAAGGAACCTGCTAGTAAGCATTTCGTTGGACGGTGTATACCATGTGTATCCTGGACATACGACTAATAAAACACTTGAAAGGTCAACTAAGATTATTGTGAGGAATATTTAGACTTCATATTGTCCACACGGCTCTGGAAAACACTGAAAATGGTTTATGGATATGTGGAAGGATTTATATTTTGGTCATTTTGTAGGCAACAGTCTATTCTATTCAAATATTTTCTATTCTATTCTATTATTTTCTATTATATTTGTATTTGTTTCTACTATGCTGTATTTGATTCTATTCTTTAGAGAGTCTGAGTCAGACAGAACAAAGGAATCATGTGTGAATGTCTGGAGGGAAGTTAGAACCATCATCTGCTGTTACAGCCCCACTGGGATGAAATAACACACCTGTCTCCCAGAGAAAATGGATGCTATTACGTGTGTAGGGGTGTGTGTGTGTGTGCGCTTTTCAAGGGTTCGTTTTAGAGGGAGTGGGTGGATTTCAAATCATCCCTGTTAGATAACACGTAAAAATGCACAGCTGACAGTGTGAATGATATACAGCCACACTGGAAGCCAAACTGTAATTGGCTGTAAGCCAAACTGTAATTGGGGGTGACTCTCTCTCTCTCTCAGATAGAGAGACGAGAGATGAGAGCTAAGAGAGAGAGAGATGCGAGAGAGATAGGAACGAGCTAGAGAGAGAGAATAGATACTAGCGATAGATATAAGCTCTCGCTATCTTACTTCTCTCTCTATCTCTCTACTCTCTCTCTCTCTCTATCTCTCTCTCTCTCTCTCCTTCTCTTCTCTCTCTCTATCTCTCTCTCTCTCTCTCTCTCTCCTCTCTCTCTCTCTCTCTCTGTGTGTGTGTGTGTGTAGGTATGTGTGTGTGTATGTTTGATTTTACTATCCTTGTGAGGACCAGAAGTCCTCACATGGATAGTAAAACATGGACAAGTGGGGACATTTCGTCGGTCCCCACAAGGAAAATTGCTAGTTTAGGGTTAGGGTTAGAGGTTAGGTTCAGGGTTAGGGTTAGGAGTTAGGTTTAGGGGTTTAGGGTTAGGTGATAGGGTCCCCACAAGTATAGTAAAACAAACGCGAGTGTGTGTGTGTGTGTGTGAAAGAGAGAGAGAGAGAGACAGAGGGAGAAAGAGAGAGACAGAAGGAGGGAGGGAGGGAGGGAGGGGATGCATCATACTATACTGAACAAATGATCCATGGTATGACCATCTGAAAACAATTCTGTGGTTTTAATCTATGTTGCTGTTGTTGTGTTTCTGTTGACTTTGCTCTGCAGTGAGAAGATGTGAGTGTTAAGTGTGGAGACCCTGTGTAGCCCTGGGTATAATGGACCTATAGAAGAATACGTTCTCAGTATAGGATGTAATTAACTTCAGATTGCTTGGGTGAGGGACCTCAGCTGTACACACACACACACACACACACACACACACACACACACACACACACACACACACACACACACACACACACACACACACACACACACACACACACACACACACACACACACACACACACACACACACACACACACACACACACACACACACACACACACACACACACACACACACACTATAGCAATCCATTCTGCCTGGCGAAGAAGAGAGGACAATATATTAACCACAGCTGAATATCCACTGTGAACCCAAGCACATCTGACCTCATGGCACAACATTTCATAACATTCAATTATTGCTGTGGTTATTCATAGCTTTTAGACGTGCTGGGGATGGGGAGCTGTGAAAGTGTGTCTGCATGAGGTACCTAAACTGCTCTTCTAGAATAAATATCACGTCAACATTTTTGTAGTGCAAAACAATTGTTTAAAGTGCAAGAAACACAGTAAACTTCATTATAATCTCACAGTCTGATTTAATTTGAAACTATTCTTCAACAATGTTTGTTATAAGAAGGTGATTGGGTAACCTTGAGTTTACTGAGCAATACATAATTAGTCACCTCTTTATATCGCACATTGTTGAAGAAAAGTTTCAAAACACGCTGCCAAATTAAAATGATGTTTATGGTAGTTTTAGCACTTGAAAATGTTGCCCTGTGTGTGGAATTGAGATCTATCTAATCCAGTAACATAACCAGAATAAGATTTTGTTCTTACATAACTGATTTTCCTGATGTGGTAGACAAAGGATAAATAAATAAATACAAATAAAAGCATGAACTCTTGGCCTGAAAACATGGAAGAAGTTCAATGTACTTCAAATCAACTTTGAACGTTGAAGCCCAATCATTACTGTAAGACAACAACATGCTTCAGTCAGAGCTTGTTAGTACTACTCTAACACACACACACACACACACACACACACACACACACACACACACACACACACACACACACACACACACACACACACACACACACACACACACTGGGTTATCGCTCATTAAACGGAGCTAGATCCTGACCTGCGTCTTAACTTTCCTTCATGAAACAGACTTAGAACATCATTAGGAGCCGAGCTGATATGTGAGCGATCTGCACCCCCCTAAAGACCAAGTCGGCATCCCAAATTGCACCCTGTTCCCTATATAGTGCACTTCTTTTGACCAGGACCCATAGGGCACATAGGGTCTGGTCAAAAGTAGTGTACAATTTAGAGGACAGGGTGCCATTTGGGATGGAGACCAAGATGAACCGTATAGAGACTGAGAGGAAGGCTTGGCTGAGAAACAAGGTAAAACTGGCAATTTGAGTGCAATTTGGGATTGGAGATTTGATATACTAGCTAAGTCTTCTGGAAAGTTGCAATGACAATGCAGCAGGAAGATCAGACATTGTAATTAGGGAGACAAGAACAGACCAAGGCATTGTAATTAGGGAGATAAGAACAGACCAAGGCATTGTAATTAGGGAGATAAGAACAGACCAAAGCATTGTAATTAGGGAGATAAGAACAGACCAAGGCATTGTAATTAGGGAGATAAGAACAGACCAAAGCATTGTAATTAGGGAGATAAGAACAGACCAAGGCATTGTAATTAGGGAGATAAGAACAGACCAAGGCATTGTAATTAGGGAGATAAGAACAGACCAAGGCATTGTAATTAGGGAGATAAGAACAGACCAAGGCATTGTAATTAGGGAGATAAGAACAGACCAAGGCATTGTAATTAGGGAGATAAGAACAGACCAAGGCATTGTAATTAGGGAGATAAGAAAAGACCAAGGCATTGTAATTAGGGAGATAAGAACAGACCAAGGCATTGTAATTAGGGAGGTAAGAATAGACAATATAGACCACACTTCAGCATGAGTACATTCTTAAACAAAGGAATTGTGAGTGTGGATTATACTGTGTATAGGAATAAGTGTTAATACCGGTATGCCAAATTCTATACTGATACATAAATGGAACAGTAATGTACTTCTAATTTCTTTTCTTTGTCATTTGTGATCAATTGTATTGATTTATAATAAGAAAAATAGGTAAGAACATAATACACAAAAATACCTAGATTTTGTAATAAATGAACACCCTACGCAGTACACAATATAAGAATTAGCTTTGCAAAATGGCGATCCTTTGTAGTTGCGTAACAAAAATATTCAGAAGTGTGCACAGCCACAATTTGTTGTGGCAAGTACGCAAGATTGCTATTTCACATGCAGCACCAGTCAAACATTTGGACACACCTACTCATTTAAGGGTTTTTCTTTATTTTTACTATTTTCTACATTGTAAAATAATCGTGAAGACATCAAAACTATGAAAGAACACATATGGAATCATGTAGTAACCAAAAAAGTGTTAAACAAATCAAAATATATTTTATATTTCAGATTCTTCAAAGTAGCCACCCTTTGCCTTGATGACAGCTTTGCACACTCTTGGCATTCTGTCAACCAGCTTTATGAGGTAGTCACCTGGAATGCATTTCAATAAACAGGTGTGCCTTGCTAAAAGTTAATTTGTGGAATTTCTTTCCTTCTTAATGCGTTTGAGCCAATCAGTTGTGTTGTGACAAGGTAGGGGTGGTATACAGAAGATAGCCCTATTTGGTAAAAGACCAAGTCCATATTATGGCAAGAACAGCTCAAATAAGCAAAGAGAAACGACAGTCCATCGTTACTTTAAGACATGAGGGTCAGTCAATCAGGAACATTTCAAGAACTTTGAAAGTCGCAAAAAACATTGAGCGCTATGATGAAACTGTCTCTCATGGGGACTGCCACAGGAAAAGAAGACCCAGAGTTACCTCTGCTGCAGAGGATAAGTTCATTAGAGTTAACTGCACCTCAGATTACAGCCCAAATAAAGGCTTCACAGAGTTCAAGTAACAGACACATCTCAACATCAACTGTTCAGAGGAGACTGCGTGAATCAGGCCTTCATTGTCGAATTGCTGCAACGAAACCACTACTAAAGGACACCAATAATAAGAAGAGACTTGCTTGGGCCAAGAACCATGAGCAATGGGCATTAGACCGGTGGAAATCTGTCCTTTGGTCTGATGAGTCCAAATTTGAGATTTTTGGTTCCAACCGCTGTGTCTTTGTGAGACGCAGAGTAGCTGAACGGATTATCTCTGCATGTGTGGTTGCCACCGTGAAGCATGGAGGAGGAGGTGTGATGGTGTGGGGGTGCTTTGCTGGTGACACTGTCAGTGATTTATTTAGAATTCAAGGCACACTTAACCAACATGGCTACCACAGCATTCTGCAGTGATACGCCATCCCATCTGGTTTTGCGCTTAGTGGAACTATCATTTTATTTTCAACAAGACAATTACCCAACACACCTCCAGGCTGTGTAAGGGCTATTTGACCAAGAAGGAGAGTGATGGAGTGCTGCATCCGATGACCTGTTGGAAAAGCATTCCAGGTGAAGCTGGTTGAGACAATGGCAAGAGTGTTCAAAGCTGTCATCAAGGCAAAGGGTGGCTACTTTGAAGAATCTAAAATCTAAAATATATTTTGATTTGTTTAACACTTACTTGATTCTTACATGATTCCATATGTGTTATTTAATAGTTTTGTCTTCACTATAGTGAATGTCTTCACTATTATTCTACAATGTAGAAAATAGTTTAAAAAAAGGAAAACCCTGTAATGAGTAGGTGTGTCCAAACTTTTGACTGGTACTGTATATCTAATTGTGTTCTTGTGTTGCGTATTCATAATCTAAGGCAGGGGCTAGAGCAGGGGTAGGCAACTAGATTCAGCCACAGGGCAGATTTTTGTTGGAGCGGATGATCGGGGGTCGGAACATAATTATATTGCAAATTGACCCCAACTAAGCCCAAAAAGAGATTGTATTTGAAATTAACAATCATTCCATAGCTTGATTACATTGAGAAACGATCACATCTCTATTTTCATTTGTGGGAATACTTGGGAACAGATTTTTTTACAAAAAACTTTGGGGGGCCAAAAACAATCAGTCTGTTGCTGACCTCTGCCGTAAGGTATAAATTAGGCTTAAAAGAGGAGCCCATTGTATTACAGCAACCCAGGCCAATAAAAACAGTCTATTTAGAGAGTAGAGCTATTAACAGAGAAGCCGGGCATATGTGCATTGGCCTGACTTACTTGATGTCAAGGTTAGAGAGCACACTACTGGCACTTTAACTTCTACCACAAAGGTGGATATAAAAGCTTTAACACCTTTTCCCCTGTCGGAGGCCAAACCTTTGGCTTTGTTAATTGAAACCAGTAGCACCCGTAAAAAGTCATTACAGCCAGATGAAAATACATTTTGCTTTTCACTCGGCCTTGATTTAACAGGAGATCAGAGTTCGCTCTGCTTTTCCCCACGCCTCAGAAACCACCTGGTTTCACTAAGGCTTCAGGAGAGAGTTCTGTCTGAGGAAAAGTGCCTCAGTCTTAATAAGCTCTCCTCTCTTTGTCAATATCCTGCAAATCTGTTTCATGTGCAGTGAAGTTAAACATGGTCAGTCAGTCGGTCTGTCCGTGGGTCTGTGGGTCTGTCTGTCTGTCTGTCTGTCTGTCTGTCTGTCTGTCTGTCTGTCTGTCTGTCTGTCTGTCTGTGGGTCTGTGGGTCTGTCTGTGGGTCTGTCTGTCTCTCTGTCTGTCTGTCTGTCTGTGGGTCTGTCTGTCTGTCTGTGGGTCTGTGGGTCTGTCTGTGGGTCTGTCTGTCTGTCCGTCTGTCTGTGGGTCTGTCTGTCTGACTGTGGGTCTGTGGGTCTGACTGTGGGTCTGTCTGTCTGTCCGTCTGTCTGTGGGTCTGTCTGTCTGTCTGTCTGTCTGTCCGTCTGTCTGTGGGTATGTCTGCCTGCCTAGGGTTCTGGTCAAAAGTAGTGCGCTATGTGGAGTAAAAACATTAATTACACAGCTAATGACAATGGCAGGGATTAGAATTGAAGCTGTGAAGCAGAAGACAGTTGTGTCAGCCATTAAGATGTCACCCCCTGTCTGTTCCTGGGTCTGATTTAGGCTTTCTGTTTTGACTTCTCTGGTCCCTGGGGTCCAGCCCCATGCAGCTGGCCTGACTGCACGTCTTTGAAAGCACTATGCATAGATAATAAACACACACACAGTCTCCTTCTACTCCCCAACAGTCTGCTACAGGCAACATCCGCACCGAGCTAAAGGCTAGAGCTGCCGCTTTCAAGGAGCGGGACACTAATCCAGATGCTTAGAAGAAATCCTGCTACGTCCTCCGATGACACATCAAAAGGGCAAAGCGGCAATACAGGACTAAGATTGAATCCTACTACACCGGCTATGACGCTTGTCAGATGTGGCATGGCTTGCAAAATATCATGGATTACAAAGGGAAACCCAGCCGCGAGCTGCCCGGTGCCGCCAGCCTACCAGATGAGCTAAATGCCTTCTATGCTCACTTCGTGGCAAGCAACACTGAACCATGACAGCACCGGCTGTTCCAGGCAACTGTGTGATCACGCTCTCCGTAGCCGATGTGAGTAAGACCTTTAAACAGGTTAACATTCACAAGGCCGCAGGGCCAGACAGATTACCAGGACGTGTACTCAGAGCATGCGCTATCCAGCATGCACTATCCAGGTGTCTTCACTGGCATTTTTAAACTCTCCCTGACTTAGTCTGTAATACCTATATGTTTCAAGCAGCCCACCATAGTCCCTGTGCCCAGGAACGCCAAGGTAACCTGCCTAAATGACTACCGCCCTGTAGCACTCACATCTGTAGCCATTAAATGCTTTGAAAGGCTGGTCATGACTCACATCAACACCATCATCCCAGAAACCCTGGACCCACTCCAATTCGCATACCGCCCCAACAGATCCACAGATGACGCAATCTCTATTGCACTCCAAACTGCCCTTTCCCACCTTTGTGAGAATGCTGTTCATAGACTACAGCTCAGCATTCAACACCATAGTTCCCTCCAAGCTCATCACTAAGCTAAGGACCCTGGGACTTAACACCTCCCTCTGCAACTGCATCCTGGACTTCCTTGACGGGCCGCCCCCAGGTGGTAAGGGTAGGAAACAACACATCTGCCACGCTTACCCTCAACATGGGGGCCCCTCAGGGGTGCGTGCTTAGTACTGTACTCCCTGTTCACCCTTGACTGTGTGGCCACGCATGACTCCAACACCATCATTAGATTCAGACGAAGATGAGACAGCCTATAGGGAGGAGGTCAGAGACCTGGCAGTGTGGTGCCATGACAACAATCTCTCCCTCAACGTGAGCAAGATAAAGGAGCTGATCGTGGACTACAGGAAAAGGAGGGCAGAGCACGCCGCAATTCACGTCGACGGGCTGTAGTGGAGCAGGTCGAGAGCTACAAGTTCCTTGGTGTCCACATTACTAAGAAACTATCATGGTCCAAACACACCAAGACAGTCGTGAAGAGGGCATTACAACACCTATTCTCCCTCAGGAGACTGAAAAGGTTTGGCATGGGTTCTCAGATCCTCAAAATGTTATACAGCTGCACCATCGAGAGCATCCTGACTGGTTGCATCACCGCTTGGTATGGCAACTGCTCGGCATCTGACCACAAGGCGCTAAAGAGGATAGTGCGTACGGCGCAGTACATCACTGGGGCCGCGCTTCCTGTTCTCTCTGCTACCGCACGGGAAGTGGCACCGGAGTGCCAAGTCTAGGACCAAAAGGCTCCTGAACAGCTTCTACCCCCAAGCCTGCTGAACAGTTAATCAAATGGCCACCCGGACTATTTGCATTGAGCCCCTTATTTTATTCGTATTTTTTGCACCTACTCTCTTGCACAGGCTCGATGTACACTCACTGGACTCTAACCACACACGCATATTGACGCCACACACGCACACTGCTGCTACTCTCTGTTTATTATCTATGCATAGTCACTTTATGCTCTACCTTACTTACTTTTTAGTCATTTAGCAGACGCTCTATTCCAGAGCAACTTACAGTTAGTGAGTGCATACATTATTTTTTTTATTTTTTTATACTGGCCCCCCGTGGGAATCAAACCCACAACCCTGGCGTTGCAAACACCATGCTCTACCAACTGAGCTACTTCCCTGCCGGCCTGGATGAAGCAAACTTGAAACTCACGTGCTGCGTATGTCTTTACATATACTAAATAACATATGTATTAATTTTTATTTATTTAGAATGGACCATTATCATGCACCTGTCTCGAAAACAGGGCCAGGGGAAAAAATTTGTAATCTATGCACTTAACTAGCGAATGGAGTACGCATTTCCCGTGATTCATTTTCATGCCAGTCAGGTAGGCTAAACTCCTGCTGTAAATATGAACCCCCAAGTCAAACCAAATACGACATGTCAACACGTCCTGTCAGCCGTCAGTCAAACATGCAACAACAGTGCTGTCATTCAAAATTATGACATTAACTCCTGGAAACTATCACTTTTAGAATGCAAGAACTTTGAGGGTTAGGTTTAGGCATTCATTCCAAGTGGTTATGGTTAGGATTAAAATAGAACAAAAATGAGAAGGAAAAGAAAAGCCCTAACATTGGGATTGAACAAGCAAAGCTTGGGGCCGTAGCTCACGGTTCAGCTGGTCTTCAACCCCACCCACCACACCATTGCTCATCACTAGGCTACTAGATGTTAACAGGCACATGCGTTGCCCCTCGTCGACGAGTCATTTACATGTCTTTTGTTCAGCGTCTGTTTTTATGTTGCACCACAGCCTTTTGTCCCAGTGTGTACTTGTACATCTCAGGTAGCCTAGTGGTTAAGCGGTTGGCCCAGGAACCAAATGGTTGCTGGTTCGAATCCCTTAGCTGACTGGGTGAAAATTCTGTCAATGTGCCGTTGAGCAAGGCACTTAACCCTAATTGCTCTGGATAAGAGTGTCTGCTAAATGACTAAAACGTGCTATGCGTACTTCTTGTTATTTTTGACTTGTACTGCAATATTGGGTGAGCTAGCACACAAGAATTGTACTACAACTTTTACTGTGTAGGTGATAAATAAAATGTGATTTGATTTGACATCGACTTGCCATCATGTCATTTAAAAATTACATAAACTCTAGGCTAGCTTGTAATCCACTATAGTTTGGGCTGAAAACTATAATAGTAGACAAATAGAGAAGCCAACACCCTTTTGTAGTAGGTGTGGCCAAGCCTGCTGCATAGAGAGCTACTGGGTGTGCAGGTTTCTGCTCCTGCTCTATACACACATGAGACGAAGAATAAGCTGATACAGTATGTAGAGTCAGCTGTGTTAGAGTTGACAGGCAGCTACAGTTCTGTAGAATGCTACGGAAACGTTTCTAGTTCACCATGGTTATTCCGGGCTTATTAAATAATTGTATTGGAGATCTGAACTAGTTGATGCCTGTGAGCCAAGTCATCGACTAGAATTTGTAAAAATCTATTTAGACATTACAGGCCAAGCTCCACTCAATGAAAACACAAGAAGAATCAAGACACTTGTATCCCTTTCCTGCAGTCAAATGACAAAATCGCCCTCTAGTGGCCTCATGGGTGGAATGTTATTAATATTTTTCACAATTTCATAATTAATAAACATGATAAAAATGAAAATATGGTGTTTCTATGTCAAACGGTTTTGTTACATTTCAGTCTTCTGTAATGTATATGAAGTGTAATATTGGGACGCAAACTCAAAATGTAATACATTTCAACTCTATATATGACATGGTCTAGGTGTGTTATTTTTTTAAGCCCATGACCATGTCATATATAGAGTTGAAAAATATTACATTTTGAGTATGAGGTGTATACTTTTGTTTCAAAGTAGATTTGTTTAAGACTACCTGATTTAGCCCACTGCAGTAAAAGGATAAGGTTTCCCTCAAAGGACGAGCTTTCTATTGTAGCCTGCCACTGTAGGAGTTTTCTCATACTTACTTTATTTATAATCTCCATTGTTTCTGTGACATACAAGTACAATAAATGTAGCTCTCTCCCAGCCCATGTCTGCATCCCAAATGGCAACCTATTCCCTATTTAGTGCACTACATTTGACCTGGGCTGTGGTCAAAAGTTGTGCACTACAAAAGTGAATATGGTGCCATTTGTGACACAGCCCATATCTGTTCTGTATCTTCAAAACAGAACATGAGAGAGAAAGACATACAGTACAATACCTGACCATTCTGTTCATGAACTGTGGAGGGGACATCAAATAGAAAACATTGCTCACAGTGTACAGAAAGACGTTACCTCAGAATGCAGACGTTTCTTTCTTCCTTTAGTTATTCAGCTAAGTAATCAAATCAAATTTTATAAGTCACATGCTTTACAAACAACAGGTGTGGACTAACAGGGAAATGCTTACTTATATTATTACGGGCCTTCCCAACAACGCAGAGAGAAAGAACATGGAGAAATAATAGGAAAGTAAAACACTTAATGATAAAAGTAATAATAGAAACACAAGGGGTACCAGTACCGAGTCCATGTGCAGGGGTATGAGGTAATAACTTGGCTATATACAAGGGGTACCAGTACCGAGTCCATGTGCAGGGGTATGAGGTAATAACTTGGCTATATACAAGGGGTACCAGTACCGAGTCCATGTGCAGGGGTATGAGGTAATAACTTGGCTATATACAAGGGGTACCAGTACCGAGTCGATGTGCAGGGGTATGAGGTAATAACTTGGCTATATACAAGGGGTACCAGTACCGAGTCCATGTGCAGGGGTATGAGGTAATAACTTAGCTATATACAAGGGGTACCAGTACCGAGTCCATGTGCAGGGGTATGAGGTAATAACTTGGCTAAATACAAGGGGTACCAGTACCGAGTCCATGTGCAGGGGTATGAGGTAATAACTTGGCTATATACAAGGGGTACCAGTACCGAGTCCATGTGCAGGGGTATGAGGTAATAACTTGGCTATATACAAGGGGTACCAGTACCGAGTCCATGTGCAGGGGTATGAGGTAATAACTTGGCTATATACAAGGGGTACCAGTACCGAGTCCATGTGCAGGGGTATGAGGTAATAACTTGGCTGTATACAAGGGGTACCAGTACCGAGTCCATGTGCAGGGGTATGAGGTAATAACTTGGCTAAATACAAGGGGTACCAGTACCGAGTCCATGTGCAGGGGTATGAGGTAATAACTTGGCTATATACAAGGGGTACCAGTACCGAGTCCATGTGCAGGGGTATGAGGTAATAACTTGGCTATATACAAGGGGTACCAGTACCGAGTCCATGTGCAGGGGTATGAGGTAATAACTTGGCTATATACAAGGGGTACCAGTACCGAGTCCATGTGCAGGGGTATGAGGTAATAACTTGGCTATATACAAGGGGTACCAGTACCGAGTCCATGTGCAGGGGTATGAGGTAATAACTTGGCTGTATACAAGGGGTACCAGTACCGAGTCCATGTGCAGGGGTATGAGGTAATAACTTGGCTGTATACAAGGGGTACCAGTACCAAGTCCATGTGCAGGGGTATGAGGTAATAACTTGGCTGTACACAAGGGGTACCAGTACCGAGTCCATGTGCAGGGGTATGAGGTAATAACTTGGCTGTATACAAGGGGTACCAGTACCGAGTCCATGTGCAGGGGTATGAGGTAATAACTTGGCTATATACAAGGGGTACCAGTACCGAGTCGATGTGCAGGGGTATGAGGTAATAACTTGGCTATATACAAGGGGTACCAGTACCGAGTCCATGTGCAGGGGTATGAGGTAATAACTTGGCTGTATACAAGGGGTACCAGTACCGAGTCGATGTGCAGGGGTATGAGGTAATAACTTGGCTATATACAAGGGGTACCAGTACCGAGTCGATGTGCAGGGGTATGAGGTAATAACTTGGCTATATACAAGGGGTACCAGTACCGAGTCGATGTGCAGGGGTATGAGGTAATAACTTGGCTGTATACAAGGGGTACCAGTACCGAGTCGATGTGCAGGGGTATGAGGTAATAACTTGGCTATATACAAGGGGTCAGTACCGAGTTGATGTGCAGGGGTATGAGGTAATAACTTGGCTGTATACAAGGGGTACCAGTACCAAGTTGATGTGCAGGGGTATGAGGTAATAACTTGGCTGTATACAAGGGGTACCAGTACCAAGTTGATGTGCAGGGGTATGAGGTAATTGAGGTAGATATTTACATATAACTAGGAATAGTCACAGATAGTAAACAGTAGCAGGACCGTTGTGATTAATCAAAAATGTTAGTGCAAAAAGGGTCTTATGGCTTGGGGGTAGAAGCTGTTCAGGGTCCTGTTGGTTCCAGACTTGGAGCATCGGTAACACTTGCCAAGCGGTAGCAGAGAGAACAGTCTATGACTTGGGTGGCTGGAGACTTTGACCATTTTTAGGGCCTTCCTCTGACACCGCCTGGTATACAGGTCCTGGATGGCAGGGAGCTCGGCCCCAGTGATGTACTGGACCGTACGCATTACCCTCTGTAGCGCCTTGCGGTCAGATGCCAAGCAGTTTCCATACCAAGCGGTGATGGTGCAGCTGTAGAACTTGAGGCTCTGAGGACCCATGCCAAATCTTTTCAGCCTCCTGAGGGGGAAGAGGCATTGTCATGCCCTCTTCACGACTGTGTTGGTGTGTTTGGACCATGATTGATCCTTAGTGATGTGGACACCGAGGAACTTGAAGCTCTCAACCTGCTCCTGTCAATGTGAATGGGGGCGTGCTCGGGCCTCTGTTTCCTGAAGTCCACAATCAGCTCCTTTGTGTTGCTGACGTTGAGGGAGAGGTTGTTGTCCTGGCACCATACTGCCAGGTCTCTGACCTCCTCCCTATAGGCTGTATCATCGTCGTCGGTGATTAGGCCTATCACCGTCGTAATGATGGTGTTGGAGTTGTGCGCTGCCACACAGTCGTGGGTGAACAGGAAGTACAGGAGGGGACTAAGCACGCACCCCTGAGTGGCCCCAGTGTTAAGGGTCAGTGTGGTGGATGTGTTGTTGCCTACCCTCTCCCCCTGGGGGCATCCTATCAGAAACTCCAGTATCCATTTGCAGAGTGAGGTGTTCAGTCCCAGGGTCCTTAGCTTAATGATGAGCTTAGAAGGCATTATGGTCAAATCATTTCATTTCTACAGTGGGGAGAACAACTGTGAGAGACGGAATCTAAAACAGAAATCCAGAAAATCACATTGTATGATTTTTAAGTAATTAATTTGCATTTTATTGCATGACATAAGTATTTGATACATCAGAAAAGCAGAACTTAATATTTGGTATAGAAACCTTTGTTTTCAATTACAGAGATCATATGTTTCCTGTAGGTCTTGACCAGTTTTGCACACACTGCAGCAGGGATTTTGGCCCACTCCTCCATACAGACCTTCTCCAGATCCTTCAGGTTTCAGGGCTGTCGCTGGGCAATACAGACTTTCAGCTCCCTCCAAAGATTTTCTAGACTGTCTAGGCCACTCCAGGACCTTGAGATGCTTCTTACGGAGCCACTCCTTAGTTGCCCTGGCTGTGTGTTTCGGGTCGTTGTCATGCTGGAAGACCCAGCCACGATCCATCTTCAATGCTCTTACTGAGGGAAGGAGGTTGTTGGCCAAGATCTCGCGATACATGGCCCCATCCATCCTCCCCTCAATACGGTGCAGTCGTCCTGTCCCCTTTGCAGAAAAGCATCCCCAAAGAATGATGTTTCCAACGCCATGCTTCACGGTTGGGATGGTGTTCTTGGGGTTGTACTCATCCTTCTTCTTCCTCCAAACATGGCGAGTGGAGTACAGACCAAAAAGCTCTATTTTTGTCTCATCAGACCACATGACCTTCTCCCATTCCTCCTCTGGATCATCCAGATGGTCATCGGCAAACTTCAGACGGGCCTGGACATGCGCTGGCTTTGCAGGGAGACCTTGCGTGCGCTGTAGGATTTTAATCCATGACGGCGTAGTGTGTTACTAATGGTTTTCTTTGAGACTGTGGTTCCAGCTCTCTTCAGGTCATTGACCAGGTCCTGCCGTGTAGTTCTGGGCTGATCCCTCACCTTCCTCATGATCATTGATGCCCCACGAGGTGAGATCTTGCATGGAGCCCCAGACCGAGGGTGATTGACCGTCATCTTGGACTTCTTCCATTTTCTAATAATTGCGCCAACAGTTGTTGCCTTCTCTCCAAGCTGCTTGCCTATTGTCCTGTAGCCCATCCCAGCCTTGTGCAGGTCTACAATTGTATCCCTGATGTCCTTACACAGCTCTCTGGTCTTGGCCATTGTGGAGAGGTTGGAGTCTGTTTGTTTGAGTGTGTGGACAGGTGTCTTTTATACAGGTAACGAGTTCAAACAGGTGCAGTTAATACAGGTAATGACTGGAGAACAGGAGGGCTTCTTAAAGAAAAACTAACAGGTCTGTGAGAGCCGGAATTCTTACTGGTTGGTAGGTGATCAAATACTTATGTCATGCAATAAAATGCAAATTAATTACTTAAAAATCATACAATGTGATCTTATGGATTTTTGTTTTAGATTCCGTCTCTCACAGTTGAAGTGTACCTATGATAAAAATTACAGACCTCTACATGCTTTGTAAGTAGGAAAACCTGCAAAATCGGCATTGTATCAAATACTTGTTCTCCCCACTGTACATATATGAGTGCTACGGGGCGATAGTCATTTAGACAGGTTACCTTGGCATTATTGGCAACAGAGACTATGGTGGCATGCTTGAAACATGTAGGTATTACACACTGGGTCAGGGAGAGGTTGAAAATGACCGCCTAACTCAAAAAGTAAGCCTATATAGACTGTTTTGGTGTGTGTGTGTGCGTGCGTTTGAGAGTGTGTGCATCCATACGTATGTGTGTGTGTGTGCTACAATTGTGTGTGTGTGTGTGTGTGCACCTGCGTCGAGGTGAGTCTATATTTAACCTGTACATTTTCCCAGCTGTTTCCATGGTACTTCATCACAGCTAATGACTGTTGACTCCTATCACCACCTCACTCCATCACAGTACAAGTAGACCAGTATAGGACATGTCGGATCTGTTGACGTCAGGTGACAACAACAGCATGAATCATTCATTAATTACAAGAGATCATTCTGGGAATAAACTTTAGAGGGCGGTGAGTTTCTTTGAAAGCTTTGTAGCAAACATTGTATTCTCATACCTCTATTAAAGGCCCAATCCTTAATTTGAAAGGAAAGAAATCCATAACTTTTTCAATTTAACTTGAAAGACAACAAACAGATAGTATGTTGGGGCCGATTTATATTCTTCAAAAATCAATGGGTATACTATACATAATTGTTTAAATTACCAAAATATCATAGTTTGCACCTTTAAAGAATGACCAAACGTCCTTATGGTTGTCAGAGCTGTCTGAGCAGGGTGGCCTTCTGATCTTCTCTATTGAACCACTCCTTAGCTGGAACTGATTGTTCCCAGTGGCTGGGATTGGGACTACTGCTACAAATACTATTGGGAATGCTGTTGGGAATGGGCGGATTAACTGCAATGACCCGAGGGTCTCGATTCTAGATCGTCTACTTGGACTCATCTCTCTGGAGCAGTGTGTGTGTGTGTGTGCGTGTGTGTGTGTGTGTGTGTGTGTGAAAGTAAGAAGAGCAGCAGTGAAGACTATGAATGAGACAAGGTATTTGTTACCATTCCACTATTCTGCACCAGCAATTACCATGAGGTCGTCTCCCCCAATTACCATGAGGTCGTCTCCCCCAATTACGGTGCCACCAATCTCCTGTGCTGTTATTTTTCAAGCCTTCATGAGTAAAAGCAGAGACTGATGTGAACTCTTTCCTGTAAGAATGTTGAACCCTTGGAGCCCATGAACAATGCACACCATCACAGAGGAGTGTTGTTTGTCGATACACACACACACACACACACACACACACACACACGTACAAAGCAAAGCATAATTTTGATCTGACAGCTGCATGCCACATGGTTGAAAAGATGTACAGTTTCTAGCGTATGAATGTGCATCTAGCATACATGAGGTAAAATAGTGCTGGCGGCTTTGGATAGAGGATGCTGCTTGTTGTTATTGTTGTTGTTGTGTGAAGCAAAGAGAGCATCATAACAGTGTATTTATCCTGCTAAGACTGTGTGGGCTAATCAAAGCAGGGCTGGTTGGAAAACATGAAAAAATATGGCTGCCACATGGTACTGTAATCCAGTCTAACCAGTCTTGTTTTGCAGGAGAAATAAGAATAACTAGATTACATTTATCTGTTTTTTGTTGACATTTTAAAAATTGCAGATTCATTTAACAATCTGTAAACGTGACTTTTAGAATGTTTCTCCTTGTCATTTCAAAGGAACATTTGTGTTAATCAGAAACCAGTAGTTTACAGACGACTGAGATGAAAGAAAATAGGGAACATTGACATATGATGACCCTATGGGCCCTTGTCAAAAGTAGTGCACTAAATAGGAACTAGGGTGACATTTGGGAGGCAGACTAAGACACCTCCAGGGATTTTCCTTATAGAAGGAAAACCAACAAACATGCAACCATAAAGCCATACAACCCGGGAAGTCTAGTAGTGTGTGCTTGTGCGTGTGCATGTGTGTGTCTCTGTTTGTTTGTGTGTGTGTGTGTGTTTGTGTGTGTGTCTGTGTGTGTTTGTGATGAGAAGGGATTGGAGCAATCAGCCCTACCCTTCCACCACTGGACCGCATACTAATTACACCACTTCATTGATTTAGATGACAGCAACATAGATATGCACACAAACTCGTCAAAAAGGTTTTTTCCATTTAGCCACTTATACAGTACTTTTATAAATAATACACAGGTATTCAGAGAAATGAAACCGGCTGATCTGGAAGTTTATGCTCTGCTTTTTGATATGCGTATATGAAACAGAAAGTCCAGTTGCATAGCTGTGAGCTTGTGACCGAAACCTACCAACATTGATCAACAACATTCCTAGACTGAAAATGTCTTATCTTGTCAGCCTCGTGACAAGGGAAAGGAAGGAACATTATATTGAATCACCTTTTCCTCATAGAAGTGACATTGACTCAGCCATGGCTCTGAGAGCATACATGCTAGTGCTCTCTCTGCTCCACCAGTGTGTCTCTCACCCACTCAGCCCTCCTGACAATGGACTTCGAAGTGCCGCACCAACCTGTCCGCTCTAGCCCTAGAGGTGCTCCCAGGTGGGGAATGGGACAACCTGAGGAACATGGACATGGGACGAGTCATGAACTTTAGCTACTCCCAGTGCCAGACCACGGAGGACGGAGTCTACCTCATCCCAGACGAGGTGTTTGTCATCCCCCAGAAGCTCACTGGTGTTGAGACTCATTCAGAAAATCATCAGTACTCAGCTGGAGCAGCACAGTTCCACGTCTCAATCCATCAATGTGGACGTGTCCTTCCTCCCAGTGCTCAATGCTAAGTTCTCCACTGAGAACCAGCGGGTGAAGAGCCACCAGGTCCAAGACAGGTCTGTCACTACTCGTGTGCAGGTGAGTTGCTCCTTAAGATTGAGAGTCAGACTTAACATTTGCATCACATTCAAGCATGTGTAGAAATACAGTATCAATTGTTGAATTACTGCTGTCGGAAAATGTATTTTCATCGTCAATCGTACACAAGGTCCAACCGAAACTTGACTTCCGCTTTTAACCCAACCCCTCTGAATCAGAGGTGCCGGTGGGCTGCCACATTGGGGCCCGGGGAGAACATACTGAAATGGGGAATTGACAAGGTGGACTCAGATCACCACTATAGTTGTGTATATTAAAGAGATGTTTTAGGTAGAGATATAGTTAAACCTATTTAGTTTATATATATACAATATTTAAACACATAGTGTTAAAGCTGTATTATGTAGCTTTGTGTGTATCCCGAATTCAAAAATAAATGTGAGTTGTAGATTTGCCATTCTGATTGAAAGCAAGTCTGATAAGTGATAGATCTGTTCTATGTGCGCTATTTCTGTTCTATGTGCGCTTCCCCTCCTTAAGTTTCATTTTTGCTTGTTGAAAATATATTTCTAAGTGTTTTACATGGTACAATGATTCTCTACACTATACACAAGTTTACGCGCTGTATCCCGGGTGGCGCCATAACTCTACACAAATGCATTTCATTTCCGCCGGAAGTTGTTGGCACAACGTCTGCCGGTGTAAACACAGCGATGTCGACGCTAGCTTGGGAACACGGTTCTACTACTATGCCGCAACCCGTCAAGGAGCGGAGGGGGAGGAACTTGCAAGGGACTATTTGGAAACTCTGGGCAACAGCATTGAAACCAAAGGCTTAGTGGTGTGCGAAAAGGAACTGCGGCTTGCAGCATCTCCCGATGGAGTGATAAACAACGACATTCTGTTGGAGATCAAATCACCTGTGATGGGAAACAAGTCACTTGCAGAATTTTTGGCAACAAAGAACTGCGAAATCACAACTGTGGCAAACGGAGATAGGGTAGATTACCATATTGCCTGCAATGGTCCAAAAGGCTACTACATGCAGTTACAAATTGGGATGCACTGCACAGGGCTTCAGCACTCCAAGTTGGTGATCTGGAACAAAACTGAGCACCTAGAAATCGAAGTACCCTACGACCAAGGCTTTGTCCAGGGGCATATCATAAGGCTGCGCACATTCTACTTTGCCCACATGCTCCCGAAAATTATTGATGATTTTGTTGAGGGAAGGTTACAGTTCTGCAGTAAATATCTCAGCATTTTAAAACCAAAATAAACTGCCTTATTTAGGTCATGCCCACAGGAGCCAACAGATGTCCATTGTTTACATGATCTCTTTATGCTGTGCAATATATCAGTGTGCCTACTGTTTGAGTGAAAATAAAGTTTGATGTAATTTCAATCCTTAGAGTGCTACAATTTATTTTAGCACAGTTCATAATTCATAGTAAGCTCATACTGTACATAAATAACACTGGATTAATTAACTGTTTTGAGGAAACTAAACAAATGGCTTCAACAAGAAAGATAGCGTGTTTAATCTTAACAGGTATTAAAAAGTAAAATACAAAAGCAGCCCACACAATTACATCACTATGAAAATATTCATATATAATATTAAAAAATACAATGCACGCAGTATTTGTTGTGTTTATCTGTATTTAATGAACAACATGGCTGGGTGTTGGTAGACAGGGACACAGGGCAAGATTCTAAACCTCACTGATCAGTGGACTCTTCAGGTTAACTAGGCCAGCACAGATGGTTAAGATGTTGTCCAGTTTCGGTGCCATGCTGATGGGAACATTCTGGGATAAAATCTTAAACACCTTCAGTCTCTGGATTTCTCTTTCCACATGTATGCGGACATTGGCTACTCGCCTGGTGCGTGTCGTCTCCTCATTGGTCAACTGATTGCGCCTGTAGGTGAAAGCAGGGATGTTCAAACTGACCCTTCGCTCATCAAGCAAGTCTCGAATGGTGAACCCACGGTCCGCCATGACCTCATCACCAGCCCTCAGATAGTCTAGGAACCCACTGTCCATGGTGATAAACTTATCGCTGCTTCTGCCAGCATAGGCATCAGATATAAACATGATTAGCCCATTAGGGGCCACAGCGACGAGATATTTCACAGTGTTGCGTGATTTATACTGGCTGAAAGTGTCACTCCTTGAGTCGTGGTTTGTGGCTCTCTGCATGGCACTTTCGGCACAGTCAATGATGCAGGTGGTTCGAGGGTAGTTCCTCTGAAACGACAAGGCGCATGGTGGCACGAATGGTCTCTCTTGGAAGCCAGGGGATCAGGACTTTGAACTGTTCACCCATCACGTCAATCCAGTGACTAATCACAATGCTTGCCATGGATGTAGACACATTGAAGCGGTGAGCAATATCTCCTAATATTAGGTTTAGTTTTAGTTTCATCAACGTCATAAGTATTTGGTCAACAACAGGAAGGGTAATTGATGGCTTACTGAAAGGCAACAACACCGTCACCAGGGTGAAGAATTGAACCATAAGCACTCCTGTATACAGCCGGGACCTAGCATCATCAATGACCGTGGTGCTGGTCACAGTAGGACCCATTTCTGCCTCGCACTGTGTGGCCTTGTCTACTTTAACAGACTGTGTTGTTGAACATTAAATGTGATCAATATGTGACGGATCCTCCCATTGGGTCTGGGCATCTCGAAGTTTTGGTGTAGCAGGCTCGGCCTCACAGACAGGCTGACAGGTTTCTGGAGCATCTAAAAAGGGGAAGAGAAAACATGGATGGAGCAAAATTAATGCAGGCATAGAGTCCTCTCACTACAAACATCACAATGGAAAAATGTGTACTACAACATTGCACTCACACGCACACACACAATCATCATCACAACAGCCTGCCACCTTGCATTGTATTTATGATGTAGACTAAGGCACACGCAGGCAGGCACACACACACACACACACACACACACACACACACACACACACACAATTAATGATGTAGCTATCGTGGGCATTGTTTGTCCCATCTCCAAAACAATCAACTGCCTTAGCAAAATACCGGTAGCAATGTTTAATGTATGACAACTTCTTCATAATTAACAGTATTGTCAGCTTCATAGCTAAAGTTGCTGAACTTACCCTCAGATTCAAGTCTGCGTTTCTTTATCTGGGGGGAGGCAGTGGTCCGCTGGGTGAGTTGACGCCTCTTTGGCTGGGGAGGGCGATTGTATCCCAACCACAACTCTGGGAAAGGATTATCCTTGGTAGGTTTTTGGTCAACAAAGTGATAGGAACAAACAAAAACGTTGAGGGGTGGTTTCTTTAGATTCAATGCCTTCAGCCAGGTCCTTGATTCCGAGTCGGTATCAGGCTTGCGAAAAAATGTAAACAATGGAGCGCATGGACATTGCCTCTTCGTAGCTGGTTTGTGGTCGTAGCACTCTCTATCTAACCACTCGTTCAGGTGCTTTCTCAAGTTTTTGCAACCAACTACCGCACACGTCGTTCCCGAACCACTTTTCTTCATGTTGTAATTGTAATTTTTATATCCTCTTTGTCACTGCGATATCAGTGCTTTGTCGGCACAACGGAGCTAGCTAGCAAAACAAACCCAGCCCGGCAGAACGGAAGTGGATTGCATCGACGGGAGGAGTTCAGGAAGTAGAGCGGAAACGGCTCAAAAACGTGTGTATACATTGCTTGTTTTGTCACATAAACTGAAATTAGGCGAATGTTTTAGAATTTTAGCAACCAAATAACTGCAGAGCAATTTCTATATTTGTGCCTTTAAAAATAATTGGGGTTTCGGCATACTCAGTTTGTAGTTTATTTAGACTTTTGAATATTATTTCAGTGCGCTGTTGTAACATGCCTTCGCATTGGCTGCCCCAGCAACTAATGACACCAAGCCAAAGATGAATTCTTCTCCTTTCCCTCCCAGGTGCGCAACTTCCTGTACACTGTAAAGGCTCACCCTGACTTCACTCTGGATGGCCGCTTTGTCCGCCAGGCTGAGGAGATCGCAGACGCAATAGAAAACAACCAGACTCGACAGGCAGCGTATTTATCTGAGAAGATGGTGCTTGACTATGGCACCCATGTGATAACCAGCATCGACGCAGGTGCCTCCTTAGTGCAAGAGGACTATCTCAGTGACAAGTACGTGTCCACGACAGACAAGTTCTCTGTCAAGGCATTGGCAGGTCTAAACTTCTTTTATAAACTCAAGTTTGACATTGGCAGCGAGCATGCACAAGAGACCTCAGACTCACTCAGTTATCAGGGCAACTTCACCTACTCCATTATACAGAGCCATGGTGGGGCACCCTTTTACCCGGGCATCACTCTGCAGAAATGGCAGGAGAGCACCAAGAACAACCTGGTAGGCATTGACCGGGCAGGACTGCCACTGCACTACTTCCTCAACCGGTTAACCTTGCCTGATCTTCCTGAACCAACAGTTGGCAAACTGTCACTGTTTGTGAGTGAAGCCATACATCGCTACTATACCATCAACACCCGGCCCGGCTGTGTCAACCCAGACTCCCCGAACTTCAACTTCCAAGCCAATGTGGAAGACAACTCCTGCGAGGGTCCGGCCACCAACCTCACCTTTGGTGGCGTGTTTCAGCAGTGCACCAAGCTCACTGACGATGCAGACCCAATCTGCCAGAACCTGGCTCAGATGAACCCCGACACAGGCTCTTACTCATGTCGTGAACCCTACACACCCACCCTGTTGCGTGGCGAGGTGATAAACCAGGGCTATAACAAGATTGAGTGCCACGACAATTGCTATGACTGTAACTGTTTTTGGGGGATGTTTTGCGATACATGCTGCGACAACGTGTGTGTAGACGTCTTCCATGTCCGCTCCGCTCGAATTGACAGCTACTGGTGCTCCACCAATGAGGTGACCCCAGAGTACTCAGGGTATCTCTTTGGGGGCCTCTACAGCCGATCCCTACTGAACCCTCTGACCAAAACCAAGAGCTGTCCCGTGAACTACTTTCAGATTAACTTTCTGTCCAACGGCCTGATTATCTGCCTGAGCAAAGACTATGAGACTGCCAGCAAGTTCTCAGTGCCATTTGGTGGTTTCTTCAGCTGCCAGTCTAACAACCCCCTGGCAGGTGGCCAACCTCGCTGCCCTCCCAAGTTCAGTCAGCACCTAGCTGGCATTATTGATGGCTGTCAGGTTCTGTACTGTGTCCAGTCTGGCCTGTTCACAGGTGGGCAGCTGCTTCCTGTCCACCTGCCACCTTTCACTCGTCGTCCACTGGTCAGCATACATGCCAATAAAACGATGGTTGTGATGACCGATGGTGATCAGGTCTGGGTCAGGGTTGGCGAGACCAACAGGTGGAACCTGACCAAGCTGACCGAGGTCAGAATGCTTAATCCAGCCTCAGCCCAGATGTCAGATGGGAAGAAGTTCGGTGTGCACTTTGGTGTGGACTTTGGAGTCGTTTGCCTGGTTGCTTTGGTGACAGTTGGGGCTGTGCTACTAGTGAGAAGGAGAAGGGGAGCTGGGTTCGGAGGGGAAAGAGGGTATGAGAAGATCGGGTAGAGTGAGATAGGAGCAGAAAGCCAAGGAGAATAGGCCATAACATAGAGACACAAAGCCAGAGCCCCACCCTAGGCACTGTGGCCATGAGAGTTGGCCAACAAAATAGCTTTGAGATGAAGCACTGAGATGAGATGAAGCGTTGAGATATAGCTTTACTGTAGAATCAACATCTCACTTTCGCTGCTGATTTACAATTTACAATCTACAATCCTGCTGCTTTAAAACGTACACTTTACAAACTACAATCCTGCTGCTTAAAGAGTTAGCTTTTTTTGCTATTGGCAAAAAGCAAAATTGGAAGTTAGATTTTCTTCTAGTCTAATGAGTTTTAATAACAATGTCCCAACATGTGAGGAATTAACAGTATCGTCAGGTATTTATTACATTTGCATCAGGGAAAATTTAAAAGAATACCTGCATCGCGCTGAAGGGTAAGAAATAAAGCAATGGAGCGGTGTAATCTTAGGGACTGACTGGAATTAAGTTATTCATTGTTATTAACTACAGTAGGGAAAAATACACTCTTGCTCCAATGCAAATTATGTAGTAAAAGACACAAACTTTCCAGTGGCAAGCAGCCTTCATCAGGGTTAAGTTATATCACAATATGTTACACAATACAATATGTTAAATGGGGGTCAATTTATGGCGGTGGTGAATGTGTGAACAAATTGATAGATTTTTTTGGGGGGCTAGATAATCTTATCATGTACATTTGTGTAATATAATGGAGACAAGTTTTAGACATATTAGTCTGAATATGGAAACTGTGTTTGTATGATTATATGATTTCATACTTTCTGTTTATACATTTTTACAGAAATGTACTATAGCATGGTAAGGCATTATTGTTTTCTGTTTTAATAATGTTGTAATTTTGGGCTTAATAAAACAAATTCAAAATAAACATCTTCCACAATATGAATTTTTCTATCCTTATCTTGATTTTCTCATGTGAGTGGTGGGTGGGGGGGGGTGGGGGTGGGGGGGGGGTTACTAAGCTAACATATGATACAAAGAAACTGAATAACGCTGAGCACAGGCAAAATCCTAGAGGAAAACCTGGTTCAGTCTGCTTTCCAACAGACACTGGGAGACAAATTCACCTTTCAGCATGATAATAACCCTAAACACAAGGCCAAACATACACTGGAGTTCAGAGGAGGCTGGTGGGAGGAGCTATAGAAGGACGGGCTCATTGTATTGGCTGGAATGGAATAAATGGAATGGAGTATGTATGTTTGATGCGTTTGATACCGTTCCATTAATACCATTCCAGCCATTACAATGAGCCCGTCCTCCTATAGCTCCTCCCTCCAACCTCAACTGCTGGAGTTGCTTATCAAGATGACATTGAATGTTCCTGAGTGGCCTAGTTACAGTTTTGACTTAAATCGGCCTGGCAAATCTATGGCAAGACATGAAAATGGCTGTCCAACAATAATCAAGAATTTTTAAAAGAATAATGTGCAAATATTGTACAAGCCAGATGTGCTAAGCTCTAAGAGACTTACCCAGAAAGACTCACAGCTGTAATCGCTGCCAAAGGTGATTCTAACATGTATTGTTAATACTTATGCAAATTTGAAATGTATGTTTTTCATTCTCAATAAATTAGCAAACATTTCTAAAAACATGTTTTCACTTTGTCATTATGGGGTATTGTGTGTAGATGGGTGAGAAAAAAAAATGTGTAATCAATTTTGAATTCAGGCTGTAACACAACAAAATGTGGAATAAGTCAATGGGTATAAATACTTTCTGAAGGCACTGTGTACTACCATACATGTTTTAAAGACGAGTCTTGTGAGGCCTGTGGGCATTCTAGAGCAAAACATGTACGTGTTCGTGAGAGCCTCACCTGTCAATAGAGGGGCCATGTAAGTGTGTAGCCCAAACCACGGTCGCTACAGACAGGAGTTGCCAGATCAGCTGTACCGACTTCAGACGAGTCCCGTGACACTTGTGGGGGTCGTAGAGCCCCACAAGCGTCAGTTTTGTGTCCCCCCCAAATGGTTAAAGTTACGATTGTGGGAATTAGGTAAACTGATCCTAGATCTGTGCATAAGGGCAACATTTTACAAAAAATAAACTTCTACCTGGAGCTAGCATCCCAATATTCCTTAGTCTGTATCATACGTTTAACATACTAGTAGTCTTCAGAAATGTACTTAGAGCTAAGCAGAGGCATCAAGTAGCATTAGAGGATCTAAGCTTAATATAATCATCCAAACAAAGCAACCAGACAGTAGTGTTTGGCAGCTGTTAAAGCAGATGTTAATATTTATGAATATGGATGGATCAAATTAATGACCGGATACAATATAATTATGTAGTTATAGATTTCTGAATAGGCTTCATTGACATGAAAATACGATACAAACACACAGGCAAGCACACACACACACTCACACTCACACACAGAGGAAAGTCACTACAATAGCTGCCGTTTTCTCAGGCCGATCTCAGGGAACTCACCTGACGGGAACAGGTCATCACATGGGGACGTCATTTATCACTGTACCGCTGCCTCACGTTGTGTACCGGGGTACAAAACCTGTCACAACATCTCACTGAGTCAGTTAATCAGCATTATATTTAATTCCCATTCCATCACATCATTGAATACTTTATTCATGACAAACAAGGCATGACTCTCAATGGCACCCTACACCCTATAATGGGCTCCAAAAGAAAAAAGCTAACACCCTACTGTTGTACTTGACCTTCTTGCAATTAATAACTGTAAGTCACTCTGGTTTGACTGAATGTAAATAGGGCCATCTGAAATGATGCCCTATTCCTTGTATGGTGCATCACATTTGAACCAGAGCCACCTCAAATCACACCCTATTCCACATAGATGGGTGGGTTGTTTAGCAACAAAATGGATGTTCAGGAACAAAATGAAACTAGCTGAAACAAGCCACTTATGATTCCCCACGTGGCAGTTTCTTGTCATTGTTGCTAGCTAACTGGCCATCCAGAATCACAACAACGCACAGACTTCTGCCCCATTGAACCATGCGCATCATTTTGGTGACATTGTCAGCTAACCCATCTCTCTGTGGAGAAAGAAAATAGTTCCAATATTGGCATAACCTTAGTGATTGGAGGAAAGCTATAAGGGTTATCGAATCAAGATAAAATCCTCTGTTCTCCTCAAGCTCATTAATGTTCATATTTGAAGATTGAAGAAAGGCCAGTCTCGTTGGCAAATGACAGGAGTGGCAAGGAGTGGAATGTTAGCTAAAAAGAATGGTACCCAGGCTAACTAAATCGGGCTTTAATTTCAGTTTGTCTACAAATTAATTAGTGATATGTTGGATTCCCGTCTCAACTGAACATCTAAGTTAAAGAATAGGACTAAATCAAATCAAACTTTAAATGCACTTTAAATAAAGTTTAATTTGATTTAGTCCCATTCTTTCACTTGTTTATATTTGGTTGAGAATGAGATTTAAATCTACTACTATGCCCTACGTCTTTATAATAACTTTTGTACTTTGATCCCTGATTAGACCACTTTGTATCTTAATAAACAAACAAAAAAGTATTTATGTTTTTCTAGTAACATGGGGTTTGATTAGCATTCGCACCACAGTGGCTATTTTTGGTAGCTAGCTAGTTAAACATGACAAACAAGAGAAAGATTATCATCATATCATGCATGGCTTAGCACATCAGCAATCAACATTAACAGCAGAATGCAACTGGCCAGCTCAGCTACAGTGGGAAGAACAAGTATTTGATACACTGCCGATTTTGCAGGTTTTCCTACTTACAAAGCATGTAGAGGTCTGTAATTTTTATCATAATTACACTTCAACTGTGAGAGACGGAATCTAAAACAAAAATCCAGAAAATCACATTTTATGATTTTTAAGTAATTAATTTACATTTTATTGCATGACATAAGTATTTGATCACCTACCAACCAGTAAGAATTCCGGCTCTCACAGACCTGTTAGTTTTTCTTTAAGAAGCCCTCCTGTTCTCCACTCATTACCTGTATTAACTGAACCTGTTTGAACTCGTTACCTGTATAAAAGACACCTGTCCACACACTCAATCAAACAGACTCCAACCTCTCCACAATGGCCAAGACCAGAGAGCTGTGTAAGGACATCAGGGATAAAATTGTAGACCTGCACAAGGCTGGGATGGGCTACAGGACAATAGGCAAGCAGCTTGGTGAGAAGGCAACAACTGTTGGCACAATTATTAGAAAATGGAAGAAGTTCAAGATGACGGTCAATCACCCTCGGTCTGGAGCTCCTTGCAAGATCTCACCTCGTGGGGCATCAATGATCATGAAGAAGGTGAGGGATCAGCCCAGAACTACACGGCAGGACCTGGTCAATGACCTGAAGAGAGCTGGGACCACAGTCTCAAAGAAAACCATTAGTAACACACTACGCCGTCATGGATTAAAATCCTGCAGCACACGCAAGGTCCCCCTGCTCAAGCCAACGCATGTCCAGGACCGTCTGAAGTTTGCCAATGACCATCTGGATTATCCAGAGGAGGAATGGGAGAAGGTCATGTGGTCTGTTGAGACAAAAATAGAGCTTTTTGGTCTAAACTCCACTCGCCGTGTTTGGAGGAAGAAGAAGGATGAGTACAACCCCAAGAACACTATCCCAACCGTGAAGCATGGAGGTGGAAACATCATTCTTTGGGGATGCTTTTCTGCAAAGGGGACAGGACGACTGCACCGTATTGAGGGGAGGATGGATGGGGACATGTATCGTGAGATCTTGGCCAACAACCTCCTTCCCTCAGTAAAAGCATTGAAGATAGGTCGTGGCTGGGTCTTCCAGCATGACAACGACCCAAAACACACAGCCAGGGCAACTAAGGAGTGGCTCCGTAAGAAGCATCTCAAGGTCCTGGAGTGGCCTAGCCAGTCTCCAGACCTGAACCCAATAGAAAATCTTTGGAGGGAGCTGAAAGTCCGTATTGCCCAGCGACAGCCCCGAAACCTGAAGGATCTGGAG